CTGTCTTGCAGGAAAAAGATTCGCATTTGAGTAGTTATTATCTATGCCTTGGAACTGATCTTAGTTTGCAGCCAACTACATGATTACATAATTATATGGCTAACTATGAGGTGTACAAAACTAGTAAGAACTGCGAAATTGTAGCAATGTAACAGCATAAGCTTGCTGAAATATTTTAAGAGGAAGAAAGATTTGGACTGCTGGTAGTTTTACAGAATATGCATGGTTGCATATTAAAAAGATTCTTTCTGCCTCACAAAGAGAAATGGAGTAGCTTTATTACTTTGAGGAAGATTGGTTTGTACAGCCAAAGATAACAGATTGGAAGAATTATTTTCTTATAAAATTAATATTAAGGTTGGAAACACTTCCTAAATAAAGAGTGAAAAGTTAATATCAAAAAAAATAAACTAACTTTTTCTTAAAAAGCTAAATCTGCTGAGTGCATATGTTTTGAAGAAAATATTTCATAAAATAAGTTGCCAAAAAAGATTATTTGTTTTTGAATCTTCTACCCTATTTTTTTCAGAACTCTAGAGGAGATTAAATTACATTAAATTTACATATCTAGAACACACAATATCTTTTCATTTCTGGGGATGACATTGCATTTAAATTAAAATCGATATTTCAGGTTGATATTGTAACAGCTGTAAACTACATAAAGCTTGAGGGAGCCTTGGTGCTAAATAAATAAAATGTTTAATTGCTTCTCCTTCATCTGGCTAAAGAATTTGGAATGTGCTATGTTCTCTCTGCAGAAGGCTTTCAGCTGAGTCAAGTGCGCGTATTTCACGAGTGAACTTAAAATCCATTTGCCCCTGAGCTTATAAAGCAAATACATGTCGTCTGCTTTAGAGAATCAGTGAAGGAATCTCTCTGTGAAGAAGTATTAATTGAGATGGAGTGAGTAAAGAAAAACCCATTGCCAAAGCTCTGGTGATACAACAGCTGTGAAGAAGAAATTGAGACAGTATAAACATTATCTGTCAGTCCACAGAGGTCTCTACCTAGGCAGCATTTTTTTTTTTTTCTAATTTGCAGAGCCCATATTTTCAGCAGCTCTTAAGAATAATACCACCTCCCTGGTGTTGCCAGCTCTAACTGTTTTGAGGTGCATCAAGTAAAATACAAAGGTTTTTGTCCTTACAGAATAAGACTAGAAAAAAAAAAAAATCAGTTCACTGTATTTCTTGTGGTACAATTTAGCAGTAGAAACCTCAGAGTCATATACAAGTGCTGTTTAATAAACTTAACCACCTCTTTTCAGACAGAAAATCGGAAATTGAAATAAACTAACTGGTAAATTAGATAATGTGTGCAGCCTTGTTTTTTTCCTATTGGTCCCACAAAACTGCTTTGAGACACTTAGGGAAACATTGGTTGAATTGTGTGAATCTTGATAAACTTCTGACCAAAACAAATTCCACAGTAAAATGGAGTTAAAATAATATTAATTGCATTCCTAGGCCCTGTTTTCTATATGAAATGGGCTGTAGATCCCAGCAGAACTGAAGCATATCAAATAGAAACTTAAAGTTGTTTATGTCTAATAGTTTGTGAGGCTTATACACTCAGTGTGGTGGCATCTGGCTTGAAATGTGCAGGGAATGGCATCACTCGGAGAAACACTTAGTGACATGATTTTAAATGGGCAGGGAGGAAGAAAGAAGTGGGAAATCTTTGACATGTTGTAATAAAGAATTTTCTTAGGATCAAGAAAATGTTTACAAACTATTAAATTTCAGCACAACTTCCACTCAGGCCTTGCCTGTCTTCCCAAATGTTGTATACAGTGTATTGCTGAATCATTCAAGGCATCTGCTGAGGAGAAAGAAGTAAGGCAGTTGGAAAATTGTGTAGATCATGACTTTGGGAGATAGGGAGGGATGCTGCTATTAGGAATAAGAATTTTTCTGAGGGGAAACCGATCCTGGGCAGAAGCAGGTTGAATATAGGAGCATGGAGAGCCCATGTCAGGATGACGAAGCGGGTGCTCTGCCTCAGGGTGGGGGGAAGTTGAGGCTGTGGATATGATCTGGACTGTGTGCAGGAAGAAGCAGGTGGAGTCAGAACAGCTGTGTCTGTTCTGGGGGAGGGTGTTTGTGGGCCGGTTTTTTACACCCCTTACCTTCAGAGAGTTGTGATTTATCTGTAGCCTTGCATCGTAACTGGCCATCTGAATTCACACCAATGCTTTCTATATTAAATACACTGGAATACAGAAATACTCCTTTGGTTCTGAGGTTTTATAAATTTGCAAGATTAAAAAAGTATGGTTGCTTGGTGAATGCATGAGTCTTTTAAAAATGCCAAGCTCACCAAAACTGAGACTTACTTCATCATTTTGCTCGGATTTCCAGCATACTTGCCATGGTTTAGTAATGCCCAATAATGGATACATCAGTTCTGTCCTTACAAAAGGTGCAGAAAAGTGAAGCAACAGAGTATGTGACTGCCACATGATGCAATCCAGCATCTTCTTTTTTACTGAGCATAATTTTGTGAGCTTTGCTGTACCAGATCTATGTCCACATACTCTGTGCTCACATCCTTACCCAACTACACAGAAACAGTACTGTATACGCTAACTTAAATGACCTCTTTGCCCACTTGGATAGCTATTTTACCCGATACACAAGGTATTGTCTTAATGATGGATAAGTGATAATTTAGCATTACTGGCTAGCTGCTCTGCTTCTCATGTCTTTGCTGGTAGCCTTAATGGATATAGATTCTGCTGGGCCGCTTTGACACCACTGAAAAAAACCTGCTAAAACGAGGTGTGCTGACCTCGGTCTCTCAGTGTATATGTGGACATCTCTCTGGTTGCCAACAGTGTAAGAGATGGCTGGGCTCTAATCAGATTTACTTCTTTTTTTTTTTTTTTTTTTTTCTTCCTAATAATCAGAATTGCATACCTGCTAAACTCTCCCAGCTAACCCCTTCATCATCACCTGATACAATGAATGCAGCTAGAATAAGTGAGTAAGTACTACTGACCATCACCAGCTACGCACAGGAAGGAAAACTTGTAGTGCCTTGGGTGAGAAACTGTCTTTCGTGGATTTTGAAGTTGTGAATTTTCACTGGCTTGGAGGACCTGAGATACCAATTGGACTAGTCTTACTATGTAAATTAAAAAATAAATTAAAAAATATATATATATGGTTAGTGAATTAAGCTAAATGGATTTAAAGAAGAAGAAATCTGATTTTAAGATGAAGTAACACAAGGTAATTTAGAAGAGTGAACAAAAGTGCTGAAGTTGCACCACTGCTTTCTCTCACAATAAAAGACTCTGTTAACTGTCAAGTTTTTTCATAATTTATGCAGAGCATGGTCAGTGAGAACGGAAAAGGCAAAGCCTGTGGGGAAATACAAAGTGATATGCTCCCGTTGATAGGCTAGGGAAGTCTCTGGTGATTGTGTTTCAGGTAGGCTGGATGTAATGCCCAGTGGAGTGATGTAACATGGAAGTGTGAACATTGTTGTGTAGGTGGAGGAGTTTAATTACGTTCCTGAAAAGTTCAGGCACTTTGAGTTCCCCACGCTGGATCTATTTGCAGGATATTGCCTGTTTACTTTACTTCATGGTTTGCCATTTCCTATGTCTTCACAGGAATAGAGAAAGTACTTAAATAAGTGGTAGAGTGGTAAACAGCATTAGCCCTAATGTTTCTCCTCAGTGAGTCTTTACAGAACAAGAGCGCGACATCCAATTAACCTTTTAGAGAATAAAGACTGGAGAACAGCATCCGAGTTCTGTTCTGGTATGATACAGATTATTTCTGTTAACTTTACACATACATACACACAGATGTGTGCATAGAGCCCTTTCTAAAGTGCATGCTTTGGGAGCTCTATAGATGGCTGGCTTTCTGGTTCATAAGGCTGTTTTGTTCTTGAGGTCAGTGTCAGTAATGGTAGGCTTGGTTTACATTAAGAACTGCTTGGTGTTGAAAGTTATATTAAAAACCATCCCCACTTCCTTACAGTACAAACAAAACAAACAAAAAAATACCCTAAAGATACGAAGCCTGTTAAAAGAAGCCGATGAGCTTTCCAGGAGGAGCCAGGGAGAGGTGAAGTCACGAGGAGTCTGAGGGCCCATGGGAAGAGTTGCAATAACAGGTTGGTTGGTGAGAGAATGAGCAGAAGCATGAAACTAAATACAGAGCTCAGCCTTATCAAAAACAGATTTTTATTTCTTTCTGTTGTCATCTACAATATGCTTCATATTACTTGCTCTCTAAAATTCATTCCTCTGGTAGATGCATGTTTGACCATCACTGACTTAATCTCATCTTTTGTTTATTTTTTTCATAATGTTTGTGTTTGTCTAAATACAGGCTACTGATGTGTTCAAGCTGAGGACAGATTAGGTGCAATTTATTAGGCTGTTATGTATACCTGCATTTCATAACTTTAATTTTAACTGAATTTTATATAACTGAGAACATAGGGTGTCACTTTTGGCCATTTTAAGCTGCACGTGACTTAAATACAAGTAAGTTTTGTAATTTGGTATGTTAATAGCACTCTAAATTTGTATTTAATAAAATGTCCTCATTGTAGCTTGTATTTTGCTTAGCATTCATGCTTTATTTAGAACTAGGAATTGAATGCATATTCAGTTAGGAAGGGCTGATGAGGGAGAGTTCAGCTGTACCTCCTCCCATTCAAAAACCAAACACATACTCTTTCTTCTTGCTTCCTTAAAGTAATTGGGATTATAATTGTTTTTATATTTAAAGTACTTGAGGAAATGGAAACCACTTCATCATAGACAGTGGGGTTCACAAAGCACCCCATTAGGTAACGTACTTCATTTTTAATGCTCACATGACCAGTGGCTCTACATCAAGGTGATGGACTTGTGTGTACATTGTAGAATGGCCCTGTACTTTTGGTCAAAAGCAAAACGTTGTAACAAATGTTGTGTGCTACGAATTCAGAAGAACGCAGGAGTTGTTAATTCCTTCCACAATTTTCTTCAGGCTCTCTTCTCCGAAACCATGCCAGAGATGACAGAGAATGAGACGCCTACTAAGAAGCAACATCGGTGAGTTTCTGTGGGAAAATGGCTGTTTTGTAGTTCTGTAGTTAGAATTTTTAGCTACAAATTCATCAATAAAAATATTGACAAGAAGTTCTGAGGACAGACCAGAGTTGATCCAAAAGTTTTGGAGCTATGGGTACAAAACTCTCTTTTCCTCTATCTATGCTGAATTATTTGTTGAAGACATGTCTACCGGGGCCACCTAGGCAATGGAGATTCTTTGATTATTACACTGACTACCCCAATGTGTATAAAACTCTGTCGCCACCTTGGTTAGAGTGCAACCTGTATTATTGTGGAGACTCCTGGTAGATATTGGAGGGGGCTCACTGTACTAATTTTGACAGAGTAATTTAGATGCCTTCCTCAACTCCCAGTGGAATCTGGATCTTCTCAAATCTCTGCTGGAACAAAACATACATCTTGAAGTTGTATAGCAACACTATGATCAAAATTTGTAACCAGGTGACTTGGATCTCGTTACAGCTTTTCCAGATTTTTATTCCTTTGTAGTAGCACCTTGATCTAACACCTGATTGGCAGGGGAATCCTTCAGTCCCTAGTTAAATACAGCATTCATCGTATGCTAGCTGGCCACATAGGATATGATTTATGATAAGAAAAGCTCAGAGAGAACATAGATTTGTCCTACAGAAATTTTTCCACTCTTTGTGGATTTTGTGACTCTTTCCCCACTAATAGAGTATTTTGAATTCTGTATTGGTAATGGGAATCCAAGGGCAGCTGGGTCCCTCCAGCCCATATATTATTGTGCATATTTAGGATATGTGATCAGTTCTGACTGGCAGATGCTTGTTTTGGATATAAGTGGGAGAACTGTAGTTTACTGTAAAATAAGAAAGCATTTTAAGTGATAGTTTACATGCATTCCTGGTCTGGTGGCACCCGTTCTCAATGTACAGAAGATTCATCACTTCTTGAATAGTTGTAGAACAGATGTGCAGGCTTCAGCCGGAATTTAGTTGACTTGAAGATGTTCATTTTTAGGCATTATTTTTTAGCAAACATCTCCAGGTCTGATCATCAGCAGTAACATTACTGTCTTGTAATCACTAAGTTGCTCAAATACACACTACTTTTGGTGAGTTACCAGAAATAAACGTGTATCAACTCAAAGTGTAAAGGATACGTGCCCCATAGTAATCATGTGTGTCATCCACATGTATCTTGCATTCTCACTTCAGATTTCTTGTTACCTCTGGACTGTGCTATAACAGTGGAGAAGGAGAGCAGAAGATGCTACTCTGCTTTTTACATGCTCTAGCCAAATATCTGGACTGAGAGTGTGCTGCCGGACAGAAATCTTTTGAAAGATTTCTGGAATGTTTCTTTTTACAGAAAACATGTGCTTTGCTTTATGTCACTTCCTGAAAGTATTTGGCTTACTGTATGTATACAGTACATCTGATTTTTGTGTGGAGTACACATTTGGAATATTGACTTCCAGCAAAGCCATTGGAGGTACTGCACAGTGATTCTGACCTGGTTGCCATCAGTCCAGAAATCCCAGGTGGACATCGGAAAACAGTGCCCAAATTATACCTAGACAGAATTTTGAGGCACAACTGCAGTGGAATGGTAATTCTGTTTTCTTTTACACAAAGGAAGCATGTTTGATACCAAAAGATATGATATCTGAAGATAACATGTCTGGAAAATCAATTTGCATGGTAACATTTTTTCCTATTTCATTGATCCAGTGAACATAAAAGCAACATTTCAAACAAATACCTAACTACCTCGTTGCTCAGAAATAGAACTAATTTTTGTACTATTTGGCCTTATCAAACACTGGATAGTGTAATAGTTGCCAGTGAAAAGAAACATAAAAATCAAGCTCTGCCCTATAAATGTGTAACAATAAGCAAATTAAGTATTACACTGTGCCTTCTTATACTGAAATTGATTTAAGTCTGAATACGAATGAATTTTTGTTAGAAAATATTTAATACCAATGTCTAAGACCAGTCCTTGTGAGTGAGGCTTCTACATTCTTGTTCACAGAGCAGAATATAATATTTAGTATTTTCAGCTGTAATGGAAATAATAAAGGAGATATTTGTTCGTGTGCAGATTTTTTCTCTTTTGTTTCACATCTTTGTTTTCCCTTTATGTTTCACAGAAAGAAAAACCGTGAGACACATAATGCAGGTAGGAGCATTATGCTTTGTTGTTGGGTCTGGAAATAACACAGATGTTTTCAACTAGTAAAATATATTTTGAGTGGAGAAGGTTCCTCCGTAGGGGTTTGGTACACTTAAAAAACCCCACCCTACCAAACACCTTTCTCTGTCTTTGCATAGAATATCTGGGCAGAAGGGCTCCTTGATTGTTTCTAGTTCACTGTTTCCCACAGCACAAGGTTACAGTAGCATGCCCAGGTGTGAAAGTAGGACTGTGCCCCTGGCTTTCCAATGCCAGTAATCTAAGTAGTAAACAGTTTAAGTTGTGTTCAATTCTAAAGGAAAATAAAAAGCACAGGCATTCACACACAAATAATATCCACCTCTCTTAAAACAGAGACAGATACTTGACCTAAGAGTTTTAGAGGTTCCCTGGATTAGAAATATCCCTGTAGCCTGTCCCTGAGGCACACACCTCGATGTTGGTATCTCAGAAATTCTGTATGGATACTGACTGTATGTTGCAGGAGTCACATCCCTCCAGCAGCAGCTAGTCAGTGTCTAGCTCCGATGCCATCTTCTGCAAGTAGCAGCAGAAGGATGAACTGGGGAAGAGTCTGAGAGGTTTTAGCCTGATTTATCCTAAGAAATTGTTCCCAGCTCTTCTTTGTTTCCAGTTCTTCTTTTACTAAACAGCACTATTGTGTGGTCTTCACAAACTCAACTGGAAAAATCAGAGTAGTTTCCATGTGAAGGCTGTGGAATATCGTGCTTGGCAGGCTGTGCCCAGGGCATGGCCAGTTTCTTAAGGATTAGGAAGTATCAGGAAATAGCCTTATCAAGTCTACTTTTAAGATTGCTGACCTCATTCTAATTATCAGTTCCTGTTTTACTTGACAATAGCTTTCCAAAGTCTTTGTCTACTGGGCTGAACTCTGCAAGATGTGGGGACCAGCTCCTTCCAACCCTGTAGCTTGCTTAGTCATTAATATCTGGATAATCTGAGTAAAGCATGGAAAGTATTATCAGAACAAAGAATTAAGTCCCAAGGATCATGTGTTTTAATTATTTATACAGCTTCCCTGATTTATATGGTAAATTTCTTGAAGAAGAGACTTTGTCTTTCTGAGCTTAGTATATTTAGGCCCGTCCCTTTCAATGCCACTGGTCGGTCCTGAAGTACAAAAAAAAAATTTAGTAGTTGAAAAAATATAAATTGAAGTGACAGATTACTGACATAAAACTGTTTAAATTAAATCCATATATCCTCTGTAAAGGAGCACAATAAAATATAATTATCTGCAGGTCACTCTGTTTCTGTGTGCTGCCAAAATCAGCCCAGCTGCACAAACCACAAGGCAATACTCAGCATGATGAACGAAGATACATTGATTAGAATCTTGACAAAGCCATGACAGAATTTCTTTTCAGGCTCTTTGGGAAAAAGGCATCTAATAGTTTTAGTTTGCACAGAACACCAAAATAGTCAAAAAAATAACTACATGAAAGTGAACTATATTTGAATGAAGCTGACTATGGTGGGTGGAAAACAGAGATTAATACTATCTGAAAAAAACATGCCCAGAGGTATTTACACAGCTAGGCTTGTGGTATAGAGCCTTTGTGCCAGTGTTTAGGCCTCATGAAAAGGTAAATTATGTCACTGGAGGACTATAAATGAAGCATTTTCTGACCTGCTACAAAATAGGTAATTCACTGGGAATACTGTTCATTCAATATTTTCTTTACTCCCAGTCATAATTAGACCTTGTGGAGCAGTTATACCTTTGAACATAAAAAAGAATAACTGATAGTCCACATACATAGTGCTTCAGCAATATTCAGTGTTGGCTGCTCCATCAATATAGATTGAGAACTGGTTAAATCTAAATTATTTCTCTTGGTGCTAAAGTTGACATTACTGTTTAAGAGAGACAGATTTCCTTCCCAAATATGAAACCGATTCTTTCCATAATCTTTGTTCATTTGTTTTCTGTATGCCTAAATTTAATCAATCTGCTTTGTGAAAAGAGTTTCATAAAACTCAGCTAGAAAGCATTATCAAAACCTGAAATTTGAGTTGCAGTAACTCTTCTTTTCCACAAAGGGGTCCAGAGCATCCCCACCTTTTAAAGATATTGCTGGTTATGTTGCAGCTCTCAATTCCCCTCAGTAACTGAGGTTTACTTTAGAGAACTTTTTTTTTTTCCTCTCTCAAGTTACTAAGGGTTCCAATACATCATGAAATAATGTATTTATGAGCCATTCCATTGGTAGTAGTTGTGCTGCTGCTGTGCTGACTTGCCCAACTGGATGACACAGCACATATTATTTTTGCTTAGTGGAGAGACATCGAAAGAAGAAGATTAATGCTGGGATAAACAGAATTGGAGAACTCATTCCCTGCTCTCCAGCACTTAAGCAGGTGAGTATCCATTCAGACATGCATACAATTTTCTTGTAAAATGCTTGTGTGTTTCCTTGTCTGTAGAAGTATAAATACTTATTTTGCTGTTTGTCTTAAGAAGAAGGCAAAACTGCCTGAATTAATATGCTCAAAAATCTTACCAGTTATTAGTATGTAAAAAATTATATGACATATAATAGAATTCCTTTTTGGAAGTGCGGAGCCACATGAACGTAATTATGCAGATTTTGAACTTTTTATCTGGAAGTGTTGTGTATGACTGCTGAAGGAATGAAATGGTATGAGCTGGACATGTGACTGACTTTCTCCACAGTTCATGCATGCAGTATTTTTGAGCAGGTGCAAGCTAGACTAATTTGTCCATAGCGATTTGGTCAGCTTGCTGATGTCTGCTGGTGTGTCTGATTCACACGAAGTTCTAGTTCAGGGTGCCTGAACATTGGTAACAGAAGGTGAAAATCCTATCTCAGCTGCTGCCAGCCCTGTTGCGTTGTAGCTGTTCACCCTTGCCTCTGTAGTAGGGGTGAGCCAGAAGTAGGCTGGATCTGGCCAGTGGGCTGCTGGTTACATTGTGCAACTCCTTTTTGTCAAGTCATTTTCTACTGATGCTGTTTAATGTCATCTGTTTGATGCTTGAGTGGTAAAAGCCATGGGTTAAGCAAGATCATATTTTAGGTAATTCTCCAGTCCCTTTGCTGGTGATCCCTTCACGTCCTAAGATGTAAATAGAATTGCATGCATGCTTATTTTTATTGTCTTTCATACAATGAGACGAAAGCAATTCAGAAGGTGAAATAATAATAGCAATTTAAGGCACTGTCGTTGTGAAAGATGAAGCAAGACAAATGTTTTGAGATTGATGCACAGAAGCATCTTTTTCAGGACAGAGGAATCTATAACAGAGGCTGTTCCTACAGAACAGTAGAAGAAGAAATTAAGATCGCAAGCAGAATAAGCATAGTTTCATAAAAGGAAGAAGATGGTGAGGTTATGGCATATTTTCTCTTCCCATATTCTCCAGTATATTACTTTCAAAATTATGCATACACCTCCCTGGATAATTTTTCCATGTTTGTTTCTTTGCTAATAAAATATTTACAAGGCAGTATCCTGGAAATTTCATGTGATATATGTGTTTATTAGAGAACACAAATTTCAGGCTGCTCAGCAAGAAATGGTGCTTGCTGTTCAGGTTCTGTGGCCTTAGTATCTAGCTTCAGGCATCAGAAGATGTCAGCTCCAGCACTGAAAATGTCATTCTGTAAAAACTCGTGGCATTTTAGAGAGAGTATCACTCATGAAACCCATGGTTCATCTTAAAAAACCAAAACCAAACAAACAAAACCCCGCCACACACACTCACAAAAAACAACAAACAAACAAAAAAACCCCAACAAAACCAAAAAAAACCCCACCCAACAATATTCAGAGAATCATTCAGGTTAGCACATTTTTAAAATAAAGACCTCTCGGAGCAAGTGCAATCTGATCATTAATGGATCTACCAATGATAGACTCTTCTCCTAATTTTGTATGTATGTTTTCTTTTAAAGAGCAAGAACATGATCCTGGATCAGGCCTTTAAGTATATAACAGAAATGAAAAGACAGAATGATGAACTTCTCTTAAATGGAGGGAACAATGAACAGGGTAAGTACAGATGCTGCTGGAGGCTCTAGAATTTCTGTCACTCACTTCCACTGTGTGTCTGTTAGTGCTGACTGACAACAAAGCCTGGATCGACAAACTCGAGAATCCCAGGAGATACAGCTGCTTAGAATATCTTGAAACAAGAAGCCAACAGAATACTCAAGTGTGTGTTCTTGCACATAGCTGTGAGATAATGAAGCAATCACATTGTGATGTAAAGTAATTACAGAGCTTCAAGGTGATGTGACACCATCTAGTACATTCTGTCCTGATTTATTCTGCTGTAGAGACTTAAATGATTTCTGACAAACTTCAGTGTTAGATTTTTTTTCTTTGAAAATATGGAGTTTCCTTCATGCATAGAGCTTTTTATTTTTCCTTTCAAATGCTGTAAAAATGATAACACCTTATTTAAAAAAATACAATGTATCATGTAAAATATTCTTGAACAGATGCATGAATATACAGTGAAGAAAGTACGACAGAAATAATCTCAGAGCTAATGTTGTGGTTTGTGATTTTTAATTCTACCCATAGAATGCAGTTCTAAATAGTTTATTTTTACCTTGTCAATGTAACTGGGTTTGAAAAAACGATGTGATTTTTCTAGTTAGGTGAGCTGTCTCGAAGTGCATTGCTGGTTTCTGTGGCTTTTCTTAAGTGCTTTGTATTTAATTTTGCATATAATTTTTAGATGTAATGAAAGTTAATTGTCCTTGAAAGTCATGAGTTTATCAATTAAATAAAAACAGTTTTAATATTTGAAAAGCATCAGGGAAAAGAAAAAGATAAATTAATGTACTTGTCTTTCCTTCAGTAATTAAACAATGTGATTAGTGTTCATTTTCATCTGAGTTAGTCCTGATGGTTTTTTTAACCAAATAATTTGACATATCCTGCTACTGGTAACAGAGTAGTCTGAAGTTCATTCACTTTCCCGCTCAGTAAAGAGGCTTATCAGGATAAGAGTCTTCATTTCTGCTACGTTAACCATTTGAAGAGAGCATACATTATTAACAATTTATTTCAATCCTGCTTAGTAGTTACTCTCCAAGTGGTGTGGTAACATTACCTAGTGCTTGCTCTGGTGCTGATGTAATGGAGTGCTCTCACTGTTTTGTAGCTGAAGAGATAAAAAAACTCCGGAAACAGTTGGATGAACTGCAAAAGGAAAATGGGAGATACATCGAACTACTGAAAGCAAATGATATTTGCCTGTACGATGACCCTACAATCCACTGGAAGGGAAATCTCAAAAACGCAAAGGTCTCGGTTGTTATTCCTGGTGATCAGGTTCAAAAGAACATCATTGTCTATTCAAATGGGAGTCAACCCAATGGAAATAACCAGGGAGCGCCTGTCCAGGGAATAACATTTAATGTCGGTCATAATTTACAAAAGCAAACAGCCAATGTTGTGCCAGTCCAGAGAACTTGCAACCTAGTGACTCCAGTGACAATTTCTGGTATTTACCCCGCAGAAAACAAGCCATGGTCGCAAGCTACAGTTTCTCCGCTGGCATCTGCTCAAACAGCTCCAGCAGGGAATATTCTGGAGCTCCCCACCCCAGAGGACGAGCGAGGCGTGCTCACCGCTGCTACTGCCAGCTCTCAGAGCACATCTCGAGCTGGAACAGAGCAGGAGCTACAGTGTTCCTCAAGTAACGCACCACAGAATGATCAGAATCTCCCCAAAAGCAAAAATGATGAGGAGGGCACTAAATTAACAAAGAAAACGCTCCTGCAGGGAATCAGCCTTCCTTCTAGTGCCTCCACGGAAGCCTCCCAGGTTCAGCAGGTGAATGCAACTTGCTCAAGTACACACAGTTCTAGGAGTGACCTTCAGGAAAGCTGTGTCATTTCAACCACAGACACAACTTGTGTGCCCTCTGTGAGACTGTCTACTGCAGATAGTTTTTCCTCTGTAAATGTCCTCAAAAGTACAGATTTAGTAAGTAGTGCTGGCATGCCCGTGACTTCTGCAGAAGGAGTTAAGGCTGTGACGGCAATAAGCACTCTGCCTGCCAGTCCCTTAGAGAACTGCTGGTCTTTTTCAGGCTCTTCAGGTGTTGGCACTTCAGACTTGAAAAACATGAGTAGCCTTACACGGATGCCTTCAGCTGGAAACACACAGACCACGTGGACGACTCTGCAGCTAGCGGGAAATACTGTTCAGCCACTAAGCCAAACCCCGTCCAGTCTAATGACTGCACTATTAAATGAGCCAGCTAACGGTGCTGGTACTCTGTCTTCTGCTCACAGCAGGCCTCTGACTACAAGTATCAGTTTGAATACTTCTCTTCCTGGGGATGGCCAGGCAGCTGAACAGATTGTAGTTACCTTGCCCTCATGCCCTCCCTTACCTATGCAGCCATTAATCAGCCAGCCACAGGTTAAAACTCAGGCTGCAGGAAATATCCTTCCATTAAATTCAGCTATGCAGGTGATTCAGATGGCTCAGCCGGTGGCATCAGCCGTTACAGGAGCACCAGCTAACCAGAATGTCATCATTCTCCAGCCTCCGAACCCAGCTCCGTGCCCTCCAATTGTGAGAGCAGAAGTACCCAGCCAAAACGTTAGTCAGCAGATTGTAATTATACAAGCTGCTAACCAGAATCCTCTTCCCCTCCTCTCCGCTCAGCCTTCTGCTTCTGTGAGAGCTTCCATGAATGGGCCGACTGCCATTGCGAACTCTAGCAGCTCCGTGCAAAACGCCTCTCTTCCACAGACATTTGGAGGGAAACACCTTGTCCATATATTACCAAGACCATCTTCTTTGCCATCTTCTAGTTCTACACAGACGTTTTCAGTTACAGTGTCCAATCAACAGCATCCGCAAACTATCTCATTAAACGGGCAGCTTTTTGCACTGCAGCCTGTGATGTCTTCATCTGGAGCTTCAAGTCAAGCCCCTATGCAAATTATTCAACCCACCACCAGCGAAGATCCAAATACCAATGTTGCCCTCAATACGTTTGGTGCTTTAGCTAACCTCAATCAAAGCATATCGCAAATGGCTGGGCAGAGCTGCTTACACTTGTCTCTCAGCCATCCTACCAATCCCACAACTGGCAATAACCAGATTGCCACAGTTAGCTGTGTGTCATTACCAGCTTCTGTGGCATCTTCAGTACCTGCGGAGGTTTCAGTATTAACCAGTGCATCTAATTCAATAAACGCTTCCCCCAAAAAAGCAGCTGCTGGCTTGCCATCTAGCACAAAATCAAAAAGGACAAACAAAAAGCCAAGTACAAAGAAACACCAAGCAGTCAACAGCAAAATGTCCTGCCCGGCACTTCCTTGCAGAGGCGCAGGGAAGGCGGACTGTGCTCCCGTGGAAATGGTGGCAAAGCATTCGACCGGCGAGGGGCTGCTTGAAAACGCTCCAGCGGTGTCCGTGTCGCAGGCCTTAACGACGTCGCGGGTGAGCGGCGTTGTGGCGTCGGGTGGCGTCAGCGTTTCTGAATGCTGTTCCAAAGAGCCTGCGAGCTCCGAACAGGCAGCCAAAACCCGCTCGGTCCCCGAGCCGAGCTTGGCAGAGGCCCCCGCTTCCTCGGCCCTGGGGTCCGGGGTGCCAGAGCAGCCAGCGCTCGCCCCGCCGCCTGCCAGAGATGCTGCTCCTCACCAGCAGGCCCAGGGCTCTCAGAACCGCCCGCCAACCAGCTCAGCCTTGTCAGAGTCCCCCAAACCCTGTGAACCCCCCAGCACCTTAACGTCCTCTCATACCGAAGCACATGCGACATGTTCTGGGGTCACTGGGATGTCAGCAGCACAGAGCAGCACAGCAGGTCATGCTTCCAAGGCAGGAGCGATTTCAGAGTCCTGCAACATCACGGGGGATTCCTCAGTGGTAATGCAAGACGCGGACTTGTTAGAAGGACAGGGTCTAACCAAAATGCTGTCTGATCTCACAAAAGAAAGAACAGCTGTGGAAAAACCCTCTTCCTTTACTGTTCAGGGCGAACATTCTAATTTTCCCATGGAAAACTCTAAATCAACAGAATCAAATGTTGATTTGCCTGAGAAGCAAGAACTCTTGCTAATGAACACGGAAGGTGATACTCTTCCCCAGCATCACTCCTGCATTTCTGATCAGGAAGTAGTCAGTGCTTCCCTTATCGCTAGCAGGCAGGCAGACTCCCCGATGTCAACTAGCTCTGGCAGCAGTCGAGGCTTCTCAGTTGCATCTATGTTGCCGGATACCACGAGAGAAGACATCACCAGCAGCACCTCAACCAGTACGTGTAACAGCTGCACGTTTTCAGAACAGACTGACATCGTAGCTCTTGCAGCAAGAGCTATTTTTGACCAGGAAAACCTTGAGAAAGGTGGAGGAGGAATACAGGTTAGCATGAGGGATGCCATCTCTAAGTCAGCTGAGGCTGCACCTTTGGAGAGAGAGCAACAGCCTTTTAAACCTCAACCAGTGAAAGAAAACAATGCAGGGCCGTTGGAAGCGGCACCAAGCAAATTCAGTGCTCAAGATACAGTACAGACAAATGTTGAAAGACAGGTTGAAAAGCCAAGCTGCTCTGTAGGAGGTGCGGTAACATCAAACACTTCTTTGCACATTTCCACTTCCCAGTCAGCAAGCATAACCAGTTTAAGCGTGAATAATCTGATACACCAGAGTCGCATTGTCCATCCCCTTGTGAGTTGCTCCACCTTATCCCAGTCTTCAGAGCCACCGAGTGTCCCTGCAACTGTGAGCCTCTCCCTCCCGTCTAGCACATACGTCAATCAGTCTCCAGGACCCGCTATGCTGAGTGAATATGCTCAGGAACAGCTGAATGCCATCAGGGCAAGCACCATGCAAGCTCCCCAGCTGCAGGAACCACACTTAAAGCAGCAAAATCATGAAGGCCGCAAAGACTCTGCCAAGCGGGCTGTTCAGGACGACCTTCTGCTTTCTACAGCAAAGAGGCAGAAGCAGTGCCAGACAGTGCCCATACGGCTTGAGGGGATGGCACTGATGAACCGAACACCAGAGAGCATTGCTGATCAAACACAGATGCTAGTCGGCCAGATTCCTCCTAATTCATCCAACCCGGTGGCATCAGTGAGCAACCAAGGGCACCCCGATGGCCTTAACAGGTTATTCCCGCCCAACAGCAACTTCGTAACGCCAGCGTTGAGGCAGCCTGAAGTTCAGTGCAGCTCTCAGCCATCAATTTCAGAGCAGCAAGGCCAGGCAGGGCAGCACTTGCAGCCAATCCAGCATGTTCCTGCTCAAGGCGTATCTCACCTTCACAGCAATCATCCATACTTAAAGCAGCAGCAGGCTGGTCAGTTAAGAGAAAGGCACCACTTGTATCAGCTGCAGCATCATGTCACACACGGGGAAAGCTCGGTCCACTCTCAACCCCACAGTGTCCACCAACAGCGAACAATACAGCAGGAGGTGCAGATGCAAAAGAAGCGAAATCTCATCCAGGGAACACAAGCCACTCAGCTTTCTCTACAGCAAAAACACCACGGGAGTGATCAAACACGGCAAAAAGGTGGTCAGCCTCACCCTCACCACCAGCAAATGCAGCAGCAGATGCAGCAGCACTTCGGAGCTTCCCAGCCTGAAAAGAACTGTGAAAATCCTGCAACAAGTAGAAACCATCATAACCACCCTCAGAGCCATATAAATCAGGATATTATGCATCAACAGCAACAAGATGTTAGCAGCAGACAGCAAGGTTCAGCTTCTGAACATGTGTCAGGGCACAATCAGATGCAAAGGCTCATGACCTCAAGGGGCTTAGAGCAGCAGATGGTGTCCCAGGCCAGTATCGTAACCAGACCATCAGACATGACCTGCACCCCTCATAGGCAGGAAAGAAATAGAGTTTCCAGCTACTCTGCTGAGGCGCTCATTGGGAAGACACCCTCTAATTCAGAACAGAGAATAGGAATATCTCTTCAAGGCCCTAGGGTTTCTGACCAGCTTGAAATGAGAAGCTATCTTGATGTTTCTAGAAATAAAGGGTTGGTGATTCATAATATGCAGGGCCGCTTATCTGTCGACCATACAGTTGGCTCAGATGTGCAGCGGCTTTCTGACTGCCAAACGTTTAAACCAGCGGGACCCAATCAGCAGCCAACAGGCAATTTCGATGTACAGGCTTCAAGAAACAGTGAAATTGGTAATTCTGTGTCATCTCTCAGGGGAATGCAGTCACAAGCATTTCGAATTGGTCAAAATACTGGGCCATCCATAGAGAGACAGAAGAGATTGCCCTACCAGCCAGTACAGGGTATTCCAACAGGAAATACCCTGCCATCAAGGGAAAATGAAAACACGTGCCACCAAAGTTTTATGCAGAGTTTACTTGCCCCTCACCTTGGAGATCAAGTGAGTGGAAGCCAAAGATCAATCCCAGAACATCAGAGGAACACGCAGTGTGGTGCCTCCTCCACAATTGAGTACAACTGTCCCCCAGCGCGAGAGAGCGTCCACATCCGAAGAGATGGTGACGGCCAGAGCAGGGAGAGCTGTGACATGTCTATCGGTCCAATTAACACAAGGAACAGTTCTCTGAGTATTCCTTTTTCAAGTTCTTCTTCCTCAGGAGACATTCAGGGTCGCAATACAAGCCCCAACATCTCTGTGCAGAAGTCCAATCCCATGAGGATGACGGAGAGTCATGGAACTAAGAGCCACATGAACACGCCTGTTTCTAGCAACATGCACGGGGCTGTGAGGCCGACTCACCCTCACCCTGCAGTTTCTCATGGAAATGGTGAGCAAGGGCAACCTTCCGTTCGTCAGCCAAATTCTTCAGTTACTCAGCGGTCGAGGCATCCTCTGCAAGATAATGGAGGTTCTAAAATACGTCAGCCCGAAAGGAATCGATCCGGAAATCAAAGGCATGGAAACGTCTTTGACTCTAGCCTTCCCCATCTTCCCCTGTCCACCAGCGGCAGTATGATCCTTGGGCGCCAGCAGCCCGCGATAGAAAAAAGAGGCAGCATTGTCCGATTTATGTCCGATGGCCCTCAAGTGTCTAATGATAATGCAGCCCCTGACCAACATACTCTCTCTCAGAATTTTGGATTCCCTTTCATTCCGGAGGGTGGCATGAATCCACCAATAAATGCCAATGCCTCTTTCATCCCACCAGTCACTCAGCCCAGTGCCACTCGGACACCAGCTCTAATCCCGGTTGATCCGCAGAATACGCTGCCATCCTTCTACCCGCCTTACTCTCCTGCCCACCCTACCCTTTCCAACGACATTTCTATCCCTTACTTTCCCAATCAGATGTTTCCTAACCCAAGCACGGAGAAGCCGAGTAGTGGAAGTTTAAACAATCGATTTGGATCCATTTTGTCTCCTCCCAGGCCTGTTGGGTTTGCTCAGCCAAGTTTTCCTTTGCTTCCAGATATGCCGCCGATGCACATGACCAACACGTCGCACTTATCCAATTTTAACTTAACATCTTTGTTTCCAGAAATAGCCACAGCTCTTCCTCCAGATGGTTCAGCAATGTCGCCTTTGCTTTCCATTGCAAACACATCTGCTTCAGATTCTTCCAAGCAGTCCTCAAACCGACCTGCCCATAATATAAGCCATATTCTAGGTCACGACTGCAGCTCAGCAGTGTGAAAACTGATAGACTGACTTCTAGTCTGATGCATTGTTTATATATTTAAGAAGAAGAAAGTGGATCTTACTGGCATCCCTGAAGAGACCATTCATAGCAACACTGTTTATTTGCCTAAATGTATGTATATGGGTACTTTTCGTATTTATACACACACTGTATTTCCATCCACCTTACTGACTTTAAAGCACCAGTGCCTATAGCAATGCTTACTTACTAGTAAACAGTAAGGATGCAACATTAAGAGCTGTGCAAATATTGGTTGTTGATTTTCCAACAATCAAGTTTGATGTCTGATTGTTCCAGGGTAAGGGCCACCCTCAGTAAAGAAAGGAGTGAGAGCATCCATATGGGAGACAGGAAACAAATGCTACAGGTTTCATTTTGTTTCTGATGTGTTTACCTGAAATTACAGATGAATTTGAAGTGGCTTGGGTTTCTCTTTTTCCTTTGTAAAATATCTTCAGGAGCCTCAACACAAGTCAAGTCTCTGTGAACCCAGCGTTAATTGATAAAGGCGTTTGTTGTGCAGCTTTTGTCTGTTTGAAGCTTGTCACATGCACTTGAGTTAAGGCTGACTTTACCTGGCAAAAATTACTATGTGTTTCCGTGGTCAGCAATTAAAAATACTGGTTTCGAAAATTCAGATTTCTTTAACCCATGACTTTCTGTTTCTAAGAAGGATTTTGTTTGGAGCTGTTTTAACAGTTACTGCTAGACTTGGTCAATGTTTTAATGTAGCTTACAACTCCTTCTGGTGTAGTCAGCAGAGACAGCAGTCGTATTTCTTGCCATTTCATTGTTCATATGCTGCAAGTTACCTCAGGGTGGGTTTTGTACCTTGGTTAGCACCTTCTTAATGTCTGTTTGCCTTTTTTTTTTTTTTTCTTCTTTTTTTTTTCTCCCCTCTTCTTTGGCCCATGCTCAAACACCAGCTTTCTGGTTTCTGTGAGTGACAGCCCTTTGTTGTACCAGGCAGCACATGGGAGGAGGACAGAGCCTGTGGCATCCTGCAAAATGAGGGGGGATCCCTGGGGGTGCAGTTCTTACTTACCGTTGCTGACAGGAACGGCCTGAATTAATATCAGTATTCTGCACTTGAATGCACCTTTTGTCTAAACGCGTATGATTGTGGAACATGAGTGTGTCAAGACTGAAACGGCGTCGTTGTGATTTGAGCACCAGGAGGAAGGGGGGTGCGTTTGTGTGTGCATGAGAGACGGAGTGAATGCGTGTGCGCCGAGTCTCCAGTACTTCCACAGGTTTCGGTCCTGTTTCTTTTAAAGGAAGGGGAAGAACTAGGTAAGTTTTATTTATTTAATGGCTCTGCAGTGTGCTTTTTTTTTCAAACAAGACAGAAATATTTGTCTTTTATTTTTATGTGCTTGGAAATACCATTCTGGTTTTGATTTTTCAAAAAACCGAGGAACTTCAGGTTTCCCTGTATGCAGTCCTCCTCCTACCAGCCAGGGAGTGGCAAAAACTGCTCTGGGGCCTCTTCTCTGGTCAGGGAGAGCCTGAAACACTTGTGTGTTGCCCACCAGTGCATTGTCTTACTGCTTCTGGGACTTGTCACAGGTTCTTCCCCAATGCCTCTGCTAGCAGGGGGCTGGGGAGGAACAGGCTCCCTGGGAAATTTTTTAGGGATTTTTTTTAATTTGAAAGTTAGAAAGGAAGGTATTCCTCCATCTCCAAGAATGGGATCCAGAGAGAGGGACCTGGAAGTTTTTTCCATAGCTTGACTGCCCGGGCCACATTTTTGCTGAGTTCTTTTATACTGATCCAGGAAAGCAAAGAGGCTTTAGCGTAAAAAAAGAATTGGGCTGTGTCTGTAGTCTGTCTGGACAATGTCTCCGCTCTTGAAACCTGGGGTCTGATGTTTTCCTGCAAAGCTAAGTAAAATGGTTCTGATTTAAATTGGGAATCACTTTTTAATTCAGATGGAGCTTCTCTTAGGACACCAAGTCTAAGTGGTGCATCAGTTCTCTGTGTTTATTAAAAAACCCCAGATTGAATATGTATTTCATTTCAAAGCAAGGCAGCTTGTGTGAGTGTGACAGTGAAGTGGGCTGCCAAAGTGCAGCTTCTGACCAAATGGCAGCAAGTGGCCTGTGCAGAGCAGGAGGGTTAGGAATTACCGCCGGTCCCCAACTCCAGACTGACTAAGCGCACCGCAGGACTGGGTGTTCTCTGATGAGGCTCTTGATCAAACTGGTTTCCCTAAGTCACTAGGTCCCAAAGGGGCTTCCTCAGGTGGGGAAATGAGTCCCCTAACAATGAGCATCTCCATGGGCTGTGGATGATAAAGACAGGGGTATTGAAGCAGCAGCTACACTATATGTTACTTACTTGTCCGGGCCTTAGGGCGGGAAGCAAAACAGCCATTCTCACTCTCTTTAAATGGCATTGTGTGTGCAATGGTGTATTTGGCTTTCAACACAAAGTAGTGAAAAATTAAGCCCTGGCTTCCAAGACTTCATATAAAGATGTTAATCCTGCTCATCATTCCAGGCATTCACATAGTACCATATTAGTTTCTTCTGCTGGGAAAACTACTTCATGATTGTCTTTGAAAACTGAAGTAAGCTTGTAAACTTGTACGGACCAGTTGCAACAGCTAAATGTTCACCAGTCCATGGGGCCAGATGGGATTCACCCGAGGGCTGAAGGAGCTAGCGGGTGTTACGGCAGGGACCCCTCTCAACCATGTACCAAAGGTCTTGGGAGTCTGGGGAGGTCCCTGCTGACTGGATGCTGGCCAGTGGTTTTCCATCTACAAAAAGGGTGTGAGGGGAGAACCCAGGGAACTACACACCTGTTAGTCTAACCTCAGTTCCTGGAAAAATTGTGGGGAAGATTATACAGGTTACTATTGAAAGGCATTTAAAAATAACGTGATTATCAGGCACAGTCAACATGGGCTCAGAAAGGGAAAGACCTAAGTAATTCGATATCCTTCTACAATAAGGTGAGCCACCAGTGGATGAAGGGAAGAGAGTGGAGGTAGTTTTTCTGGATTTTAATAAGGCTTTTGATACTGTCCCTCAGAGCATCCTTCTGAACAAGCTGTCCAACTGTGGGATGAGCGGGTTCATGTTGCGCTGGGTGAAGAACTGGCTGAAGGGCAGAGCTCAAAGGGTTGTAGTGAATGGGGCCACATCTGGCTGGACCCAGTGCTGTTCCTCAGGGCTCAACTCTAGGGCCAGCCCTGCTCACTACATTTATCAGTGATCTGGGTGCAGGAGTTGAAGGCACCGTTAGCAAGTTTGCTGGTGATACCAAACTGGGAGGTGCTGTTGACTCTCTCGAGGGATGAGATGCCTTGCAGAGGGATCTAGATAGATTGGAGCACTGGGCTCTGATGAATGGGATGAAATTCAACAAGAACAAATGCTGGATTCTGCTCCTGGGACAGAGTAATGCCATGCACAAGTGTAAACTGGGAGAGGAGTGTCTGGAGAGCAGCCCTGCAGAGAGGGGTCTGGGGGTGCTGGTCGGCAGCAGGCTCAGTGCGGGTCAGCAGTTGTGCTCTGGCAGCTGAGAGGGCAAACCCCATCCCGGGGTGCACCAAACACAGCATGGCCAGCCAGGCAAAAGGGGTCACCATCCTGCTGTATTCAGCGCTGGTGCGGCCTCACCTTGAGTGCTGGGTGCAGTTCTGGGCCCCACAATTTAAGAAGGGTGTCAAGGTCCTCGAATGTGTCCAGAGGAGGACAACTAAGCTGGTGGAAGGGCTGGAAGGAATGCCCAGTGAGGAGCTGCTGAGGACTCTGGGCTTGTCTAGTTTGGAGAGAAGGAGGCTGAGGGGCAACCTCATTGCTCTCTGCAGCTCCCTGGGGAGGGAAAGTGGAGAGGGAGGTGCTGAGCTCTTCCCCCTGGGATGCAGCGATAGGACGCATGGGAATGGTTCAGACTGGGCATTAGGCAGCATTTCTTTACCAAGAGGGTGGTGAGACACTGGCACAGGCTTCCTAGAGAGGTGGTTGATGCCCCAAGGCTGTCAGTGTTTAAGAGGCATTTGGACAATGCCCTTAATAACATGCTTTAACTTTTGGTCAGCCCTGAAGGGGTCAGACTAGATGGTTGTTGTAGGTCCCTTCCAACTGAAATAGTCTAGTCTATTATATTTTATTCTATGTATTTATTTCTTCATATCGATTTCACTATTAATTTCACTGGTGTTATATCAAGGTTAAATGCAATCCTGAGTGTTCACAAAAGAGTATGTCGACTGAGATTTTGGAGGTTGGTGGTTTTTCTTTTTTTTTAATGTTGTGCAGCATTTTCTGAAGAGGCAGTAGCTGTGTCAGTACCCCTTTCCTATTCACAAAGACAGCCAAAAATAGTCACCTGTTTCACAGGATGCCTGTAGTGCAGGCAATCACAATACAGGCATTTTAGTGATACAAAGATGATTGTGATTTTGCAGGAACTGCACAGTGTTGTGGTGTGTGGCTTAAAAGTAATAAAGTAATTACCAATGTGACTCTAAGTTTTCTCTAGAGGATTGTACCTCACATTGTTGTGACAGGGCATGATTCCTGCGTAATCACCATGCCACTTTGTTGTCCTTCTCAGGACTTTTTCTGAAACCTGCCAAGACCAGGATGGAGAAATATCATTTCATTACCCTCCCTGAATATGGCAATTTCTGTTGAAGTTCAACCACATTCCAGTGTGAGTCTTTTTACGTGCCATAAGTGATGCTAAATGACCCTGTGGCACTGGTGTGGGATCAGGACGACTGCTATGAAAAGAAAGGTAGGCAGACCTATCTGTGAGAGCTTCATATAAATGCATTTGTCCAAATGCCGTTCTTTACTCCCAGATTGTACTATTTACCCTGCTGACTAGCTTTTAGAAGAATTTAATTAAAGAAAAATTGCCTCTGTTGTGCAATCTTTGGTCTAATTGACTGTCCAGGATGGTCTTTGAATGCTGGATCTGGCCAGGTCCCCCTGGTTTAAGAGCAACTTGTGAGTTTGCCACAGATTTCAGCTTCTCACACGTCCGTGCTCATACGCCGTTAGGAAGAACAAGTGGCTAGTCTGGATATTTCACATTAAAGAGAGGAAATGAGATGTTAAGTAATTTTTGTTAATTTTTAATTGCTAAATTGTTTTGGTTTTCCTCTCCACTGTAAACTAATCACCCCTGCCATTCCACACTGGCCAGGCTGCTTGTGTTCAGTTTTGTAGGTCAGTTTGTGCCAGTGACAGGTCGGTGTCAGCTTCCAGCCACTGGCCCTTTCCCAGGGCTTCAGGCTCTGCTCTCAGCATCAGGAGCAATTGCAACATCTTGCCCATTGAGTGGAAACTATTCTTTATTTTTCCTTTTATTTTTCCTTTCCCCTGCCACTGAAGCCGTTGTGTTTAGGTATCAGGTTGGTAAGATGTTAAGGAAGGCTCATCTTACCTTGATCTGTGCCTGGGGCCACAGGGGGGTGGGAAGGAGAATTTGAAAAAGGAGCTTATGTAAGTTTTGCCAATCAAATAATTCTGTTTTACTTGGTATAATAACAATTTGACAAACAAATACATTTTCTTCAGCAAACATCTATGACACCAACAATTTATCTTTTTCTCCTAGGAATTACCTGGGAATTAACAGTTTTTTTGTTTTTCAAGATACATTTGGAAAAGATTTTTTGGTTTTAATTGCAATTTGTTAGCCCGAGAATGGCATTTTCTCATCCATAATACCTTTTTGAAGGTTACTTACACTAAGCAGAGGTTTGTTTTGGCTTTGAAGAAAAAAAAATATACTTAGTACTGCTTAACTTAGCAAAATAAGCAGCAGAAGGGAAGGGTTCAGCACTACCTCTAGGGTGGGGGTGCCGCAGCTGGCAGGCGTCGTGTAGCTGTGGCTTGCAGCATGGACGGAATGGCTGCAACAACAGCAAATGGTGTGGGGCTGGATTGCGTGCGTGTTGGTGTAGTCCCTGATGAATCCCTTAAGAAGTCAGGAGAATGAGAGCAGAGTTAGACTAAATTGAAAGCAGGCAATAAAATAGTAACGTATTAATATTTATATACTTTTCATTGAGAGAAAGTACCTTATTTAAGAACAGCTAAGGAAATGGAGAACCAAGGTGACTTGAGCTGGTGGCTGAGCCTTAGTGGAATGTGTTTTCTAGCTCCTGCTCCCAGCTCTAGCCACTATGCTGCTGCCCAGGTAAAAGAGCACCTTTCTGGGAAAAAAAAAAAAAAAATGCTGTGCTAGTGCAGAGCCTCCTGAATTTTGCACAGATTTCCTACTGCACTTTAAAAGCCACGCTGCTGCTGCTGCTGCTGTGGTTGGTGACTGTAGTGCTGTTACAGGAACCCAATCATGTGGCAGGGCAACTGCAGAGGGCATTGCTGGAGAAAAGGGGTCATTTCATTATTTCTGATCTCCTGCTGTCTTTTCACTTTCTTCAGAGGTACTTGCACAGTCCTGGCTCAAGGACTTGGTCACAAGCTCACCCTGGTTTGGGGTGACTGAGTGTAGTCAGCTGTGCTAAGAGCTGTGATCTTTTGCTATTCCCCAAATAAGTTTCGTGCTCATCACTTTAACAATGATCTCACTTTGACTGGAAAGGCAGAGTAGCATTGAATCTATTTATACCAAATCGGTCAAATTTGTGTTGTTTTCTGATACAGTGATAAAAGGAGCTCCATTCTTTACCGTCACCTAACCCAAGTTCCCTACTGCTGCTCCTCCCCTCTCCCACTGCCGCTGATCCAGCACAGGCAGCAGCCACATGGACAGGAGTGCCAGTGCAGGCACAGGTTTGCGTGTGAGTGTGTTTTCAACCTCCTGCCCCCTCTGCGATCCCTCGAGTAAATCTAGAACCTCGGAGCACCAACACTTTATTCCCTCTAGTTACACTGAGAGCAAGTTACTGTGTGAACTGGTGAAAGATTTAGCAGAGGTTTTTGGTCAAGATGATACAAAACCATCTCTCTGCGAACAAGCCCTGCTTAGTTACACAGAAGCCATTTACTATTTGCTGATGCCAGTTTTTATGAGATAAATTAAAAAAAAAAAAAAAAAAGGGCATTTATTTCTGCCTCACCAAAAGTATTTTTACAAGTAGGTTCCAAGTTTGCAGTCACAGATGTGAAACAACCAAGCTCGCCGTGGGTTGTACCCCTGTTCTAGCCTGCTCACTGTGAGAAGGGAAGCAAATATGGGTTTTGCCACAGGAGATTAATCAAAGTTGCTGTTGCCCTCCACAATGTAAATTATTTATATTCAGTCCAGAGTTTTCTGGTGTGCTTCTGTTTTATACAGCTGTAAATTACTTGGATACAGCCCCCATGGAAAGTCCTTAATATTTTGTAATGGAAAAAAAGGAACTTCGCAGTAGAAATCTATAATGAATGAACAGGAACATCATCTTCCAATTGTAAATAAGATCTTGTTCTGTTTATTTTGACATCTTTTTACAAATGTGTTGCATTCAGGTGTAAATATCCCAAACCATGATCTCATTCAGAGTTCTGAGATTTCTATTGTTAAATGTAATACTTTAATAGTTGTAATAATTATTTGTATAGATATGAACATGATAGTATTTTATTAAAAAAAATAGAAAAACACTCTTTGAATACTGTATTCTTGTTGGTACAGCTGCTTTCCCACTGAAAACCACACATTTCACTCTTCAAGATAGGTTAAAATAAAAGCTTTGTTTTGAGACCAGGAATTAAAGCTTCCCACTGATGTAGATTCTCTGCATATAACAGAGTTATGCACCACTGTTTGGATATATAAAACTACTTAATCCGGAAGAAACATATCCTGATAAGGAAGTATCTAAATAATGCATGGCCAGCACTGTCCGTGCCCTGGTGCCAGCAATCAGTGTTAAGATACAACTTCAGCTTTATAAAATGCTTCTCATCATGCGCTGCCACGGTGGTTGTGAGGTGCTCTAAAATAGTTCTTTTGTCACAGTTTGGCTCTAAAGGATGTGGTTTGGATGAGACCAGTACAGAGATGCTGCAGGGTAAGTAAAGGCTTTTGGGGAAACTGCATAATATAGGAAGAGCTGATATAATTGCTATGAAACAATTCCTTTCGGAGGCTCCGGGATACCTTGCTTGTAAACCTCAAAATTCTTGTGGATGCAGATGATGCCATTGTGGAAGATGTTTGGGTTGGGTTTTTTTAATTAACTGAGAGAGAGATGAGCTTCTCTTTTGTTACTTCAGTGACAGCCAGTAGCTGTAGTGGTACATGAGGGGAAACCACATGTGACACTGGCTTAAAGTGTTTCTTCCCCCATCTTTAGCTAGAGGTGGAGCACAGCCATGGGCAGCATACCTCAGTCTCAGATACACCCTCTTAATGGCATGGATAAACTCAGCAACAGGGAGATGCTGTCATCATTAAATTCATGTGTCTGTCCCATCCCATTGTGTCCCTCCCCCCCTCCCTGCATCCCCCAAGAACCTTTTGCTCGGTGTTGATGCCGCTGTTTTAATAGGCACAAAATCTACACTTAGCTGTGGACAAGTTAGCATTTCTCTTAAAACCATGCTGTCACATTTCAGAACACAGCAGACTCCCCCAACTTGTCTGTTCTTGTACCATCCCAGAGGTTTTGGTGGTAGTTTTGACAGTGACAGCTTGCATGACCCTAATAGCTTCTCTAAACTGTGAGGGGGAGTTTATTATTATACAAAAAAATGAGTTCTACCAGGCAGAACAACAACTTTACGTAAATATCCTGAGAAAAGAGGGAGTATAAAGTTGCGTCCACCTCCTTTCTGTGGCTTAGGTCATCACAGGTGTGGAAGAACGGAGACACCCTCGGGCGCCGGGGGGGCTGCGTGAGGAGAGGAGCATGGCAGGGGCAGGAGACACGGCACCGGTCACACTGCTACCAGGGGAGGTGGAGCAGAGCCTGCTCGGCAGCAGCTTTCGGGCATTGCACCACCCCAAAAAAAAAAACACTTGACCCCACCCCAGCACTGCAGTGGCTGTTACCTGGGAAAATGGTCCCGGCCTAGGCTGGGGTAGGCCTGGGGAAGGCAGTGCAGCAGGTGTGACACAAAAACTATACGCAGCTGAGCATTAGTAGCTCTTTTGCTTATAAAACCAGCAAACACACCTCATGACTTGGCAAATACGTCTGAGTATTTAATGAGCGACTGCAGAAGGGTTAGGGTGGGCGTTCCTGGGCAGGAACACTTTCCACACCCTGTGGAAGTTGCTCTGGCCACCGCCACTTCCAGCCAGGCCAGCTCCTGCTTCCTTCACGTTCCTCAGCCCCTGCAGTGAGCCACTCGCTGAGGAGGGAATTCACCAGAAAACCAAAGTGTTTGCTTCCCTTTCAAGAGTTGTTGCAGCAGTTTGTGCCAAGCATAGGAGGGATGAGCAGGGGGAAGCTGGGACCCCACTGCCTGCCCATGGGCAGCAGAAGGGCCCCCACCTCCTACCCCAACTTGCACCAGCTGCTCCGCTTCTCTCCATACACACCTCCAACCAACACTGTTTTTCCTCGGTGAGCAGAGGAAGATAAACCAACAAAGTGGCACCTGCACGTCAGGGGACACAGGTCCCCCACCCACCCGGGGAGCTGTTCTTCCTTCCCCGGGGGCAGCCGCCTGGAGAAGGGCAGTGGGACTGAAGGCACCAGCCACATTTCAGGGGCTGCGCAGCCGAGCTCGACCGGGACGGCTGAGAGCCAGAGCTGCCCCGGTGCCCGGCCAGACACCCCACCAGCCAGAGCCAGAGGAACCCCTGTGGCCACGAGGTGGGGGAGTTGAAGTACAAACAGAAACCAGCAGGCAGGGCACAGCTAGGAAGAAATTTTAAAACCTGATGCGTCAAGCTAGAAGCGTGGAAGGAGCAGGGAGACGATGCCAACCCCTCCCCTCATCTCTTAGGCTTAAGGTGCCTTTCCTTGAATTTAATTTAATTCTCTCATGTTTCTCTGCTCGTTCTGTGCTGTTCTTTACCCTCCTCCAACGTCTCTCTCCCTCACTGCTACCACTTTGCCATTCGCATACTGTGCTCATCTCTGCTTAGCTCAGCAAGCCCATATGTTGCTCTTTACCTCCTACACTGAGCCTTCCAACTGCTGTTCAACATTAGGGGTTTTTCTTCACATTCTTATTTAGAGAAGATAACCAGCTTCCTGGCTAGAAACAAATACGAGCCTGGAACAAGGTCTGAGACTACAGACTATGGAAGACACAAACAGAAGGCATATCTTTTATGAAAACGTGTGCCCAAAACCGGACAAATTTTGGGCCATACAAGCCCTTCTTCAGTCTGGCACAGAAGCAATATTCCTACTACCCCAACACCTTGTTCTGTGTTCTTGACTTCTGCACACTACAAAGTACACCAGGAGCGGAACATACTTGTACAGGAGGAAAAGCTGCCCATCTTTCTCCACACCTAAACACAGGGTGAGGGCAGTCCTGCAAGGTGAAAGCCCATCCTGCACGTGGCTAAGCAGTGGAGTGAAGGCAGCACTGTAAGCAAGGCGGACTTCAGACAGACTCACAAACAGCAGGATCCAACACTGAATCCTCCAAGTCTCACTCCACCCCCAAATACCTGCTTGTACACTAGTTCTAATGATCTGCCAAGATCAACAGGTTTTTGAACTAGTGTCCCTCTTCTCCTTATCTCTCTGGCTCAAGGGGACTGAGGGAGGCAGCATCTGCTAATCCTAGTAAGAAACCACACTGCAGTCTCTGGCCAGACTTGCTCACTTCATATAGAAAAATTCAGTGGGCTCTGGAGTGCTTTACATGGTGCAACTGCAGCTGCAAGGTGTGATTGCAGCATGGACAGGAGAGAAACCGGACAGTTAACAAATTAAAGGCTGGTGAAGTTCCTACGGGGAGTCAGATGCTCTAACTGTCAAGCCTCAGGCAACAGCAGGGCAGTATCTCCATTTCAGGCACGTTTAACCACCGCAGCATAGCCTCCCATCTTAGATGAGATCTACACATCTCCCTCTGGGTCCCAGAGAAGCAAGGCAAGCTTTACCTCACGCAAAGGCTTCCTTTGGTTTAGCTCTCCATGGGAGTTGGTGGTCAGCCTGCTGGTGCTGGCAGGCTGTGCTCAAACCCCACATGCCCCCAGCACCCAGGGATTTATCCTGCCCACCGCAGCACTGCTGTCAGGCAAGCACCTCCCCACACAAAGCCTTGTAGCACAAAGCCACCACACTGCTGGCACACACAGGGCTTAACCTGAACTTTTCCAGGCACTCGCTAGAGCAAGAGACAGTTCATGTGGGGCCTGTGGTGAGGACTCCATCAGGAAATTTTCTCACCTCCTTCTCCTGCTACCTCCTCCAATCCTGTATCCAAAGCTATACCTCATTTGCTCCCCAGCTCACCTCAGCAGCAAATGTGACCATCACATGAGCACATCACCTCTCAGCAGATCTACTGCTGCAGCTCTTCATGCAGCTTCCAGGTGGCACCATGCAGCTGGACTCTGTGAAGCCCTGCCTCAGACCTCTGCTCCTGCTGCTGGGGCCAGGACTAGAGAGGCAGAGAAGGGAGGGAACGGATGGTGCCAGCAGCGTGCCATCACTGCACACTACCACTTGCCCTCCAAGTAAAGCTTGGACAAGAGCACATCCTGCACAGCCTAGCCTCCTGCGCAGCCCAGATATTATTACAACAAATTTTGGTTTCGCTAATTAGAGAACTGGAAATGCAGCACTTGGGCTCCTACAGCAAACCCTGCATTTGCAGGGAAGACGACAGGACAGCACAGAACACGCTGCAAAAAAGCTGTCAGGTCGAACATTCACACACCTTTGGGTACAGAAGCCCAGATGGCTCCATCTGCACAGCATGTTCGTAACCATGCTGGACAAGACCAAGGACCACAGCCTCACCAGGAGCCTCTGATGGGCAGCAGCTCAGTCTTGTTGCACTCGCAGTAAGGATTTTTGTTTGTTTGTTTGTTTGTTTGTTTTTGTTGTTTTTGCACCTCAGACTTCCTGGCAGTCTTTCCTTATGGGAAGGAAAAGGAAGCTGCAGGCAAGCCTATGTGGCTAATATTGGATTCTACCATTTTAGACAACATATGGCAAGGCTGCAGGGTGGCTGAATGGACAACATGGACTATTCTCAGCTTGATGCTACTCTGCTGGTGCTACTCAGAAAAAAGCAAGTGTCATCTCCAATGTCAGTATCATGTTGACACTGTTAAGAGAAGCTCATGTTTTGCAACAAGCCTGAGAAACCTACCCCCATTTCAAACACGAAACATTCACAACTCCGTCTACATGACAAACCTGTAAGTCAAGCCCAAAGCATCGTAGTACAACACAGCACACAGGGCCCACCACCACCTTCTGCATGTTCTGGGCACACCCCACCTGAAATGCAGCTACATCTCTGGAGATGTGCAGCTCTGCTCGGGAAGATAATGGCTGGCAGCCTCATGTCATTCCTCCTCCAGCCCACTTCTCACTCTGCTGAAGGGGCTACAGCAACAAACAAGAGTGTCTGTTCTTTATTTAGCCTCACAAAGGCAATTTGGTTAAGAGAACAAGCAGGTCATCTGCACCTACGTTCAGGAAAATGATTGGAAGGGTCGCAAGAATGACAGCAGCTGTGTGACACCACTGGGCACCCCTCTGCCCCGAGTGCTCTCTGCTGCTGCTGAGAGCTGGAGCAAGAAGAATTCAGATCAACCTGCAGAGCAGGGAACCAGGAACATTAATTTTATTGACCATCTTGACAAACTCCAACTTAGAAAAAAAAAAAAAACAGCTATTGCAAAACCTTTCTAGGAGATACAGACTTCTCCAAGTAGAAAGTTAGCAGTCTTCTGCTTTGGTAAGCAGAAGTGCAATGAAGCCTTTGCATCACTGGGTACATGCACATAAACAAAAGGAAAAATGCTCAGACAATGACAGGAATAAGGACAGCAGGCCTCAGAGAATAGTTTTTAATTCAGAATTAGCAAAACAGGTCACATTTTAGACGCAAGGCCTGAAATAATTCACACCTGATTCTTGTTTTTTAAATAACTAAGAACTCAGGAAGAATGCAGAAGCCATTTAAAAAAAAAACCCTTATTTCAGATGCAGAAAAGTTGAAGAGGAAAGAAGTTTGGTCCAGATCTTTAGGTAAAGAGCTCAATCCCAACTGCCCCAAAACCTTCTCCACACCCCCAGCCCATGAGGGAACCCGCTTTGCCAAGTTTTCCCAAAGCAAGCTTGTGGGAGGAAGAAGTGCGAGGCTGCTGGACAGCCTCCCCCCACCCCCCCTTCAGCAAGGCCACGCAGCAGGAACCAAGGAACTGCCCAGCACACGAGGCTACAGCTTCACCACAGTGTCTCTCTCAGGGTCAGTTGAGGACAGCACTTCTGGTGCTGTGAGGGAGACCGTCACACTGACACGTGCCTGTGCAGGAGCTGCCAGAGAGAAGCGGGGCTGTTCAATACGAGTAAGTGAGAAAGGCTGCAAGAGCAAGGCGGGAAGTTCTGCCTCTGGCAGAGCGCTCACGGGCAGCTCTGATCCCCCACCTCCCTCCAACACTGCAGTCTCTTGCTACCGTGGCTCCTCGTCAGCCACAGGAGGAGCCTCCCCAGCAGAACAACAGGCCCCCGCTGCCACATCACCTTGGAGTCCTTTGCTCCCTGGCAGCTGCAGAACAGGAACCCAACGCTCTCCCCGTGCTGCCAAAGAGATTCTCCGAGGGCAGCAACCTGCAGGGCCCAGGCCCTGGCTGCCATTGCATGTGTCAAGCGGGCTCACCGGAGGGGAAGTGGAGCTCTTCAGCAGGGAGAAAGGGAAGCAAAGGTCCCAAACACCCCTTCTGCTTCCTCCCTCTTCACCGGCTCCAGCACCCACTGCACCTACAAGCCAGAGGGCTGTCCACTGGCCTCAGCTGCTGCGTCGTGCCTGCCGCAAAGGACGCGGCGGGAAGGGAAGCAAACGCCACCTTCCCTCCTGGTCCCGCCTCAGTTACCACAGCACCACTTCGTGCTTGCTGCGGGATCTGGCTCCCCTGCTCCCATGGGGTTGTCGGCCACGGAAGCAGGCTCATTCCCCACAGACGCCAGCGGCCCAGTGCTTTTGGCTGAGCGGTTTGGGACGCCCCTACGCCCCCATCCTCTGGGGGCTCAGAACACTGGGATCTTGTCCCTGTGCACCGTGTCCAGGTCATCATCCAGGGTCAGCAGGACCTGAGGAGGAAAGCACGAGGCAGCTTCAGGTCTCACTAGCCAGCCCGTGGCTGGAAGGAATGCCCAACTCCTGATGGCACAGCGACCAACAATCCAAAGGAGAAAGCCTGATCCCTGATCCCACTGATAAGGAACATCCCAGTGTGAAGAATGTCTGGAGGCAGAGCCAAGCAGAGGAGTTGGGGCACTTCTGTGGGGTCCTGGGGCAGCCACAGGTCCGTGCAGATAGAGGGGGACAAGGAGGAAGAGGAGAGGGAGAGCCCATACGGCAGAGCGGGAGGCTCAGCAAGACTCACCAGAAAGGAGAAGAACAGGGCAGCTGCGGAGAGGAAGTGCCAGACATCATGGTCATCAAAGAAGCCCAACAGGATGCACGGACGGTTCTTTTCCCGGGACTCTGCTGGAGTCTCCTAGGGGAGCAGGCAGGGAGTCAAGACCTGATTGATATCCACTCACACCAGGCCCTTGCTGGCCAAGTTGGACCCTCTGGAGTTCACCCTGTGTTAACCCTCTGTGCAGGAGCCAGGAAAAAGTGCTGTGCTGGCCAGACATGTGGTGGGAGCAGGGTAGGAATGCCATGTCATACTTAGACCTAGAGATGGATCTGAGGCCACAACCCACGGCTGGGGGGAACCTTCTGGTCTCCACAGCATAGCACAAGCTGCACAGCCTCCACCAGACCACCCTGCAGCAAGCCCCTCACTTCCACGGAGATGGACATGGTATCTTGCTAGAAGGCATCCAGTCATGATTTGAGAGCCTCCCAAGGAAACGGAAAGCCCCCACAACCCCAGGCAGATTATTCCCCACTGGCCATTTGCTCCGGGAAGAAGTCTTCCATCCAGCACTGGTCAGGATTTGCTCAGTTTTTACTTTCAGATCCCCAGCTCCTCCTCTGTCCCCTGGTGAGGACCAGTCACCTCCAGATCACCTGGGTGATAAACAGTCTCTCCACAGCTACACGTGTACAGCCATTTTTGGCTCAGCACAGCTTCCCACTCTCCCTTCCCAGTTTGCTGAAGGAGTTAAACCCTTTCGGCCCTCCATGAGCAGCCCAAGACTCTTCTCTGGAGTATTTTTTCGTGTATAGCAAACAACAGAAAGGAAAGATGACAAGAGACAGAGATGGACAGAAGGACAGTGAAAGAAGAACTTTACCTCCCAGCTGCTGAGGGTCTGGAAGAAGAAGTAGAGGGCAGCTGCCCACACCACTGCTGTGGCCACGATGCAGAACAAGGGGATGGGCAGGAGCTTCTCAGAGCTGCGGAGCTGCAGACAGGGACATAGCTTCACAATGTGCCTCGAGGGGCTGAAGCCATGCATAGGGCTGACAGGCCAGCCCGGACCACCCACATCTGCAAAAAGCTGCCCACCCCAGGGAGGCACAGCCCAGCCACGCCCAAGATGGCTACACAGCAGCCCTGCCCAACACCAACACCTTGTCCCACCCTGAGCCCCACAAAGGCCCCTCCACATCTGTCCACAGCACCACAGAAACCCAGACTGCAGTCAAAAAGGAGGACCATCCCTTCCCCTTTGGAGACAGACACTGCAGAGACAGCTACAGCTGCCTACTTTACCTTCATGATGATGTAGAAAGCCAGATACAGCAACAGGTTACAGATAAAGATCCCCAGTATGTAGGAGGCGAAGTCTCTGGGCCGATACACCAGCCCAAAGATAGCACTGAGAGAGAGGGAAGAAAGGACATTAGACAGCCTCTTTCACTGGGGACAGGGTACACTCTCAAACTGACTACCACCCGCTGCTTCCCCAGACCACAGGATCCAGCAACACTGCAACAGCATCCCAGTTCCCTAGAGGAAATGCACCATTCACCTCTGCTCCCTGCTGAGAAGCAAAGCAGAGCAAACTTGACCATGGTCAGCCACCGAGAGCAACCAGAGACCCCAGAGGGCAGGCACGGGCCCTGGGTTGCTTCCAACCCACAGCCAAACATCTCGCTCAGGAGGAGTTGGCCCCATATCTGTACAGTTAGCAGAAGGCACGTCCTCGAGAAGCAGCTTTAGCGAATAGAGAGAGCTTGAGGCAATAATTTTAGGTCTCATCCAAGAGCTGATCCCTCCATCCGTTCAGTTACTGCTGAGCCAGGCTCTGTGACTAACGAGTGTCTGTCAAGTCTCCTGCACCTTGGCTGTGCCAGAGACCTCCCAGCTATGTGGGAAGCGCATGTACAGCGCAACGTGGCACCGACCAACGTGGTCTCAGACATGAGCCATGAGACAGCACCAGCTGAAACGCTTGGGGATGCCTCACATAGCTCTGTAGAGCTGCACAGCATCCCGTGGATCTGCCTACCATCCGTGCTCATCAGATCAAGCTCCTTGCCAAGACATGCAGGAAGGGCCCCAGCACAGGATTATTGCACAGACACTGCTGCATTTCCCCATCACGTCAGGCCACCTGTGTGTCCGTACTGAATCTTGCTGCCCATGTGTACACAAGACACCGACACCTCACTACTCACAGGGACCAGTTGACCAGGTTTCCAACAATGAGAAGCACCATCCTGTCCTGAAGAGAAGACACTGATGATTACATGAAAGCAGAAGGAAATGCACGAAGAGGCCTCTGCCTCATAAATTCAAGAGATCATTATGTGAGGATCTGGAGTCTGGTTCCTGCAAACACACATGCACCTGGCTCTGAAGCTTGCTCTGTGGGAGCTTTTACCAAACAGGAACTGCTCTGGCCTTCACAAATTTGAGAAAAATGCTGCCAGAAGGAGACTAAACAGCTAAAAAAGGACAAGCCCAGCACTTAAGGATCAGCCTCAGGAGGTTCTGCAAATCTTTTGTCTGTTTCCACTGTTTTTCTATTTAGATTCCTTCCCTTCCACCATTTTACAGGGGAATTATTGCACAGAGCAAGGACATGCTTGAAAGAGGCAGCAGGAAAAACTTTGGATCACATCCCACACGGATCCACAGAGCTCTTTTTCACCTGTCTCGCCATTAGCTGGGGAAGCACTGTAACTACAGCAGGCAGAAGTGTTGCATCTGTGGGGCATGTGCATTTATGCTTACAGCTGCTTTCATGATGTCGCTATTTCAGGTCAGCTAGACTTACTTTATGCCTGAGTGCAGCAAGTTTGCTTGCAAAACTCAGCCTGACATTTATTCAGCGATGGGAGAATACATAAGTAAATGATGCTCACGGATAAAAATATCATTTGGCTTTAAGCTCTAATTAGGACTCTGCCAAGAAAAAAAGTAATCAGTGGGACACAAGGTAACAGCTACTGTTTCTTACTTCTTTGCTGTCTGCCCTGAGGTGCTGTAGAAATAGCAATAGCCGTTGCTTAAGCCACAGAACCAAAATAGTCACTGCCTTCCCCCCAGAGATGCCTGTGCTGCACAGAGCCTCACACCCATTCCTTTGAATGCATGCCCCCAGAGAGCAAGAGCAAAGGCAAATCTCCTGTGCTCGTATCACCTTCGCTCTGATGTTTTATTCACCAAGCCTGAGATCAGGGGAGGCCTGAAGGCAGGGGGTAAACCACTCCAGCAGAGATCTACATACACCCAGACGTTTTGGGAAAGGGCAAAGAAGAGAAGCAGGGAGTATTGTTTTTTCAAATAGCCACACATCTTTCCTCTGCATATTGCCTGGAAAGTGAGCAATTGCTGAGAGAGGTTCTGAGATGAGAAATCACCTACCATGTACATTGGTCGACTGCACTGCTGGATGCAGTCTGTATACAGCACCATCGCTGCCCGTCGAAATATCCCCACGTCTGTCAAAGAAGAGGATAACAAGCCATAACAGCCAGCAGAGTGAGCTCCAAAATGCCTACAGGGTAAAGATGTGGACACCCTCTGGCTGACAAGAGGACCCAGCCTGTGGGTGGTAAGGGTGTCAGACTCATTTCTTGCCCTTTGGGAACAGTCTATACTGAGCTGAAGGGCAGCCACCACAGCATGTGGATGACATGTGGCCAGAATGACAGGTTAAAACAAAAATAATTAAAAAAAAAACCCAAACCAAAACAAAAACACACAAAAAAAAAAAAAACACCAACACCCTTGACACTGCCCAGAAGTCAAATAGGCCTGCTCTGTACACGTAAATAGGCTGGCTTTGCAACTGCATCTCTGGGAGACAGATGTGTGTGCAGGGATGGGGAAAAGCACTTTCCATGGAACAAGCTGCCAGAGCAGGGAAACAGAAAAAACAGATCCTGCAGGCCTTAGAGACAGGATACTCCTGCTGCCATAATCATTGCAGAAACTTCACTGGAGAGCTACCAGTGGCAGTGGGGATGGACAGACAGGCATGCACACATATGTCCCTCTTCAGCTACAAATGTAGACCTTGAATGGGCTCCTGCCCCAAGATCAGAGCTCTTCTGTGCTATATCACCCCCTTCCTGCCAAGGAACAGGTCTGGCACTGCTGCTGGCAAACTGACTTTCCCTCCCAAGAGCTGACCCCGGGTGGCACGCAAGCCTGCCTCCCCACACACATCCATGCATCCCTAGCAGCCGCTGCTCCATCAGTTCAGCAGAGGGAGATGAGAGCTGCTGAGAGTTACCTGAGTCAGGGCCCTCTGAGGCAGACAGGAGCAGAAGAGGAAGGAGAAATATGTTTGTAAGTAGAGCACAAGAGCCAGGTTCCCCACCAGACCCTTCTCTCCCCTCACCCCATGACAGGGTTTCACATGGCTCACGGCTCTTAGCACAGTGCTAAGGAGAGCTGTAGCTGAAGGGCAGGCTCCTTCACAGCCCAGCTCCTCTGCCACCACAGAGCAGACAGGTCCTGCTGACTCCCGTGGGTCTGGGAAGCAGCAACACGGGGACTCCAGAGGCCAGGAAGAGCTTCAGATGGGTGAGAGGACAGGATAACCCAGAATGCAAGCACAGGCCACAGGAGTGTGCTCACAGGTGTGCTGCCTGGGTGCCTCACAGGCGAGGACAGGAGGCACCTGCACACCCCAGAGCAAGATGGTTCAGGCACAGCACTTACCGATCTTGAAGCGGCCCATGTAGTAGATCTGGGTGCTGAGAGCCAGTGAGGCCAAAACATGGATCATTGAGAAAATGACCCAAAACCACATGTCATTTTTCCCAAACACCTGAAAGCAGACATATTAAAAAAGAAAACTGAGCCCTGTTATCAGCAGGCCAATCCTTTCCTCTCCTGTGTGACTGTGGGGCATTAGACAACCTCACTGAACATGGGAGAGAAACCCCCAAATCTTCCAACCCAAAACAAGATCTATCAATCCAAAGCCCAGAGAAACAAAAGGAGCCCAGCACTTCTAGAGAGAAAACCATTCTTTCTGAATGCCCCTTCAGACAAGGATGACATCTTGGAAGGAGTGCGGCTGGCCCAGGGAGCAGAAACACAGGGACTCCCAGGCTAGGCAAGCTCCCCCTGCTGAGGTGGGCAGCTGCTCTCCAGCCAGGATCTGGATTTTTACAAAGGCAATCAGGGAACCAACCCACTACTTTAGGAAGTGCATCATAGCAGTCCAAAAAGGACAAAGCTGCTCTGCGGGCAACTGCACCTGTTTTACACTTTCAAAGTGAAGTGACCTACAAAGGCAGGCTAATACTATATTAAAATTTTAATTTTTCAGTTATTCATTAAGGAGTCCAGAAACTCTGGTCTGCCATCAGGCTGTGACCACACACTCCGCTCCCCTGGGGCACAGCACATGCCTGAGCATTTCTTTTTGTGTGGGGAAGAAAAAGCAAGCCGAAAAGCTACCTCTGCATGAATGGAGCAAGGGAGACATATAATTTATACACCTCACTACAGCTTCAAAGCATCCCACAAGAAAAAAAAGTAGCATCCCATAATAAAACCCCAGTGTTTTGAACCTGGGGTGTGTAGATCTAACACAGCTATCAAGAGATTCTTGGAAAATCCCAAGTTCACCAAATGCTCCTGCATGCCTTAACCCAGTCTCCTACACAGAGGCCTTCGCAGAATCAGTTGTTATTCTGTGTTATGTCACGTAGTGAGGGGCTGACAGCCCGTTGGGACCCAGCTGCTAGTTCAGAGCAAGAATTCAGTGGACATTGCCTGGTTACTGCCAAATGAAACGGACTCCTCCAAACAAAGAGAAGCAGAAATCTCCAAGGTAAAAGCACAGGCTGGGGATTCAGGCAAGCCCAGCTCAACACCTGCAATGCTACGAGCACATGGGCAAAACCCTGTACCAGTCTGACCTGCCAGTGACTACTGCTGCACAGGAGTGACCCTCTCGTGATTCCTTCTGCTCCAGTGCCCTTCTGTGGGCAGGTACTCCAGAAACTTGCCCAGGAGCCCCCCAGCTGTTATTCTAGCCCTCCACCTCTGCAAAGATAGCAAGGCCAACTTGCAGGAGCTGTGCCCAGCAACACAGGGTTTCCCAAAGGGGAGAAAGAGGCAGAAACATCTAGTTAGAGGACACATGTCTTAGAAGCTCTGCCAGCCTCACCCCACTCCAAGATGAGCCACCCCACAGGGCTCCAGCTGCATGCTTGGTCATGGGCATCTGGATGCATGAATTACTCCTCTGGAGGGCATGTGGTAGGCAAAGCTCAAAAAGGAGCCTACCTGGAGAGAAACTGCCCTGTTCTTCCCCTCCCTGCAAGCCCAGGGGAACAGAGGAGGAAAACCCAAGAGTACTGGGAATTCAAAGGCTAGCAGCTGCTTAACGCACTCTTATCCTCCCCTGCTGCTCTCCCATCATTTGCCTACCTAAGCTATGTTTCCCAGCCACACCATCTCCTTCCCAGAGAAGCAGGTAGGTAAGAAGAGCCATACCACTCCAAGGACAGCCAGACAGATCACCACAGCAAACGAGGCATAGGCAGAGTAGGCGCTGGCATTGATGTCTGGGTGGCGGGTCTGGTAGAGCTTGAGCATGCACAGTCCTGCGATCATGTACATGAAGGAGGTGTCTATGGAGGGAGCACGACAGAAACAGTGAAAACAAGTACTGCCAGTAGGCTAAGAAAGCTGCTCTGAGTGCATATAAAGAAGTGCAGCAGCAAGGCCAAACCCAAGGCTGGCAAGCACAAGTTCCCTGGTGCTGCACTGCATTGTACAACACCGACTGCCGTCTTGCAGCACATCTACCATGCTCTGGGGCATCAAAAACGGAAAGGAAAATAAGTGCCCACAGTGCAGCACAGAAACGGGCAGGGAATCACAGAGCCGTTGAGCTTAGAAGGGGCCTCTGGAAGCTATCTGATCCAACATATTTGCTCAAGCAGTGTCAGCTACGGGAGGGTTGTCCAGGACCATGTCCAGTCAGGCTTTGAATATCAACACAGAAGGAGACTTCACCACCTCTCTGGGAAACCTGTTCAGCCTTTGACCACCCTCAAAGAAAAACAAAAAAAGAAACAAAAAAAACACCCAAAAAACCCCAAACAAAACACCCCAAACTATTTTCCTGTGTTCAGATGGAGTTTCCTCTGTTTCCTGTGTTTTAATTTGTGGCCATTGCCTCTTGTTCTGTCACTGGGCACCACTGAAACAAGCCTGGCTCACTCATCTTCATTCCCTCTCACCAGATATTCACACACAGACAAGATCCTACCTGAGTCTTCTCTTTCCCAGGAAGTCAAAGGAGCCCACAGAGGAGAGTTTCCACTGAGATGGCAGGCTGAGGCTTCCTAGGCTTGAGCACTCTAACAGTTACTGTCTTCAAACACTTTGCAAAAGCAAAGGGAGATCTTGCCAGCAGTGCACTACCAGAGTCCCAAGGTCTGGAGAGGAGGCTAAAATGTTAAACCCTGGCATCCAAAGCCTCACTGCCTCCTGGCTGGGTACTAGAACTGGCAGACTTCAGAGAGGTGTGCAAGCATAGAGGGGTGGGAAATGCCAGCAACTCCGGAGACAGATCATGGCAAACCCTACCTCCAGCTCAAAAGAAGAAAGGAAACTCAGCTTACCAAACTGGAAATTGGAGTAATTAGGGCAGACGTGGTAACAGGCACTGAGCACCCCTTCCATCATCAGAGCGATGCCCATAGCATAAAACAGACCAAAATGCTTTGGGATCCCATAGTCCTGGAAGAGAGCAGAGCTGTATAGTAAGTACCCTCACTGACAAGCAAGCTTCCATTCTCCATCACTTCATCCCTCCTAACCCCTATACATGTCCTTCAGTCACCAGTGCAGCACAGCACGCTGTGTGTAACCATGGGCTCTGTATTTAGCCACCTTGCATAGCCAGGTGAATCCACAGACAGCAAACCCAAGCTAACCACACAGCAACTTCTGGTCTTAAGATCTCAGTGCTTTGGAACCCACATCTCGAGAGTAAAAATCTGTCCTGTACCTTTTGCCATGCTACATCCTGCCCAAAACTGAGAGAGCACAGGGGACCCAGAATAGCAGCCTTGGTCAGTAGGGGTTTAAAAGCACCTGAGAAGCAGAGCCCATCAGCACAGGTGAGAAAGCATCTCCAGCATAATCTGGATGAAATCTCATCTGAAAACCATAAGCATCAGACCCTTAAAACTGCTAATGCCTTTACTAGCTACCAAGCCAGTGAAAACAGAGCTGTTTGTCTCCAGAAACCACCAGCATCACTGCCTGCAGGGCTGCAGATTTCTCCATTCTTTCCTAGAAGATACCGAAGAGGCTGCAGAAGCTGCAAACAGCTCTGTTTTGGAGCCAGAAGCAGCCAAATTCCTCTAGGTTATTATAGGCAGCTCTATTCGCTCTTGCTAACAAGAGTGCCAAGAAGTAACTTTTGATTATATAAGACAAATCAAACCTCACTATAAACAAAAGCATCTTGAGACACTCCTACTGTCCCAGTTCCTCCACAGCGTGTGTTGGAGGAAAAGCCACAGCCATAAGGGTTGTTCCTTCTACTCCTCTTCTTGTCTTCACAAGCCCAGGCTGGGTCACCATGGCAGTATGGACATACTGCAAGCTGCAAAGTACTGGGGTGCGCAAGAACATGAGTGTCTCATCTAGATACTTTTTCAGGGGATGGAAAAGAGAGGAGGGTTCAATCCTCCAGCAAGGAAGGCAAGTGGGAACCCACTGTGTAACACTCTGGTTTTCAAGTTCTCACTGTCTTTCCTCCCTCCACTGAGCCCCATGCATCCATGCTTCCTACCAGGGTATAGACATCTTTCATCTCCATGGCCCGACGGTGAAGAATGTCCCTGCGCAACACAATGAGAAGGAAGAGGAAACCCAGCAGCATGTGGCCCACATTGCTGAGGATGTTGTTGAAGGCACTACAGGGAAAAATAAGGTTTAAGACAAAGGCAGCACAGCAGCAGGAAGCTGACCCCTAGGCCATGATAAACTGAATTCATTTCACTCCCCCCTCCCTCCAATCTTCCAGCTCAGCAGCTGCCAAACACCTGCCAGCTTTACACACTGGATGACAATTTTAGGTCGGGTAGTTCACCTGCCCCAGTGGATTTAACACTTCCTCTGCAAGATGCCCAACTCTGGGCCTTCTTTGCACTCCCACATTAGTTCTGAGAAATGCTGCACTGAAAGGACTGCTCCAAACTTCTTTGCAGGGCTGCTGCTCCTTGGGTACAAGTGAAAGTGTTCAAAAGAGCACGGGAGCACCTTATTTCTGCGCTGAAGGTTTGCTAGGGGAACCCAGGTGCCATATGTTTCTGGGTGAATGTGTCTCACTGCAACAGAAAACTACTGCTGAGCAAAACAGAAAGCTCAGAGCCCTATACTCTCAGTGGTCTTAACAGTTACTGTGAGCCTAGCAAGGGTGTTAATGTGAGCAGTAACAGCACAAACACTCAGGAGGCATGAGACAAAAATGCAGTGACCGCAGGGCTCACTCACCTCAGCACCCCAAGGGGATGAGCACACAGAAAGTTGTAGTAGCAGATGTCCTGATTGCCCGTCACATTCACTACCTGGACAGAGAGGAGGTGGGAGACCTGGTATTAGCAAATCCACCCTGTTGTGGTGGGTTTTCCTTGTGCAAACACTGTATGTACACAAGGTGTACCAGGACACAGCCCAGCTCTAGCACTGACACAGGGGAGTACAGACATCTGCAAGTGATGTTTTTTGGGGTGGGGGGGAAGGAGCAAGATGTTGCCACAGGCCACAGACTTGACAACAGTCTTCAGAAGAAACGTATTGTGTGCTCTCAAGCCCACCACTAATAGATCTGGCTTGCAGATATCTGAACAACAGCAGGATAGCAAGGGTGGGGAGAAGAGAGGACAAGTCACTCCTATCACAGCAAACCCTACTTGCTGTCAGTTGTCTTTTAGAGATAACAGCAGATTCCTCCTGCCTCTAAAATGAAAGAGGCCCCAAATTAGACATCAGATGAGCAGGAAAACAGCTGTGGTCCCATTTCCCAAGCAAAAATAGCAGAACCGCAAGCTCAGCAAGCCAAGCCAGCAGCAACATTCAATGCACAGTGCAGAGAGCAGCTAAGGCAAACTGCCCCTCAGACTGAGCAGGATTCCTGGGCGATCACAGTTTCACTGTGACTGTCATCCTTACACAATGTGACCACAGAGCAAGTTTAAAGGCAAGAGGACCTGAGCCCAGGGGACAGCCACAGAGCCAAACTCACCGTCTGGTAAGTGATGACGAGCTGGATGACTGGCAGGGCATAGAAGACTGCAATAGTGATAATGTTCCTGCAGAGGAGACAGTAGAAGCAGTTACACACATCAAAACAATTGTTGCACACCCAGGACAGAGCCCCACAGTGCTTGTGGAGGAATGTACACCTTAGTGCCCAAGGGCACAGACTCTGCTCTCCCAGACAGAGCTTTAAACCGCTGGTTATGATCTCCTGAAGCAGAAGAGCAAACTGTGCTAACGCAAACAGGAAGAAAATTATAAGGGCACAAGGAAAGCCAGGATGTGGGCCACAGCTCATGTGTTTGAGTGCCGATTTCTCCCCTTCCCCGCTATGTTCCAGCACCCTGGTTGTTACCACACTTTAAATAAATTATGCAAATGAGAATCCATTACCAGGATCATGTGTGCACTGGTCCATAAATATCCTTATTTGAGGTACATGGGATCTGCAGTTACTGGTTGAAACAGGGTCAAAATGTGTAACAGGATGGCTCAAAGAATATCCTTAGGTCTAAAGTATAGTTCAGAAGAAGGGCATGTGGACAGACTCCATAACCAGAGACTGGGTCCAGAGCTTGGGACTTACCAGTTTTGTCTTCTCCTTACCAGAAATAGATTTTGTATTTTTTGCTCACAATCCTTCGGTCCTTCCTGGACAAGTCTGATAGGTAGAGGAACACCTAAAACATTAGTGGGTGGGGAAATAAGGAAGAAAACAGAAAAGAACTAATGAAGACTACAGAAGCCAGTAGAAGATCTTGACATATTTGGACAATATGCAGTTTAGTGCTATTTGGACCATTTTTTACACAACAAGCTCGTTATGTCCCTTGATTCTGTGGGGAGTGAGCTCTGCAAAACCCTCTAACCTTCAAATACGGCTCTGACCATACAGAACAGTGCAGAGCCACGAAAGGAGGCAGTTGGAGAGTTGCTAGCTTAAAGCCCCTCTGTACATTCACTGCAGTCACACTGCTTGTACCAGATAACTACCTACTATTGCACATTATTTTCTCCCTATGCTGTTGTACCTCCTTGGACTGTCTGGGACACTCTGGGCTTCTCCCTCCTTTCTCAGTAGTCCCCAGTACATTCTGAGTTTCCATATTAGATCACTCATTTCAGCAGCACACTTAGCACATCAGAAAAACTTTCTGGACTCTGAAGAAAACACTAAAAAGCACATTCGGCTTTATTAGATTAAATCCACCTAAAAGGGAAGCGGAAATTTAAAAATCCTGGTAAGTGCCTAGTGCTGGTCCTGGCCCAGATGTGCCCCTGACCCAGCTGCAACACCAGCCATACCTTAGTGCGGATGACATTCTTATCACTTTCGATTTCCGGCATGGTGTCAAAGTCGCTCTCCTCCTCCACAGAGCTGTCTGTGTCAGAACCAGCTGGTGGCCCGCATGCAGAGGAAGACAACTGACGTCCACCGCTGGAGCTGGACTCATCTGGAGCAGAGCAGGGGAGGAGGAAACAAGCAGAGTAAAGGCTAAATCCCTCTACGCACAGTGAGAAGAAAGCTGCCCCAGATATCAGACGCAATCTGCTGGGATAAATTGATACAAGTTTTTCCATGATCACAAACCTTCCTAAAAGTCTCAGGTCATCAGCTAAGAACACTTTCAAGGACCGTCTTTCCCCCTCTGTAGCATTGTGGTTTTTCCTCTGCTTTTTTTCCATTACTTTTCATCTATAACATTTCCTACTATTTACTATCCCAGGCTCTGAAATCTGGAAGTCTGAGACAAGCCAGAAAGCTCTAGTGAAAGCAACAGGCTGTTCACAGGTCAGAAACAAGCTGACCTAGTTTATCTCCAGATTTTATATAAGCTTTATATATAAGCTTTTCTAAAAATATTGTAGAACAAAAATCAAATAGAAAGAAGGTCAATTTTTTCAAAGCAGGCAAAGAATCAGCTTTGCTCCCATCGCATCCACAGTATCAGTCACCTACAGGTCATCAGGACAAGCCTGCACTTCCCACAGGCTGACCAAGCTCCCAGCAAGCCCATTGCCCATACTGCCATGAGCAGAACACAAGTTTCTTCCTCATTTCCAAAATGCTTTTAAAGCATTTCTTTGGGATTTGGGGAAAGGTGGTAGGGTGGCACTGAAGCCCTCAACTCTTTTCCAGGAGTTACATTTTATGAGGTTTGGGAAAAATTCAGAAGGATTTAAGTTCTGTGTTTCTTTGTCAGAGATATCACACCTTCACAGTCCAACAACTGGATGACATCTGGAGTGTCAGGGCTGTCTTTAAATCACAGTGAGCAAATGCACCCTGAGCAGGGACCAAAAATTACACAGACCTGTCCTCCTCTCTCACTTGAGCAGCTGCCTCACATTGTCCTGGACCTGCACCACCTCACCTTGCAATCTGGGTCCCCAAGCTGTCAAATTCAAGGATTATATCCAAAAGTCCACAGCACTGAGCTATTCAATACCAATCCCTTCACAGAAGGGGAAACTGTTGTAAGGAGACAGAAATACTCTGGCAAAGACAGGCATTCCTCATCATCCCAGATTAGCAGGACCCTTGGGAGTTTTTTGTCCTTCTCTGCTGTCAGGGCAAGGTTCACCTGTTGGCAGAATGACATTATTTCTACCCAGTGAAAACTCTGGACTGCAAGAAGCTCTGATTCTGTCTTGCCTTGCAGCACACAACCCTTCAGCCTTCTAGTGAAAGGCACACTTTGGTCTAAAGGCAGGCTTGATAAACTAATAACAGACTCCTAGAAGCTTGGGTCGAAGGGACCTAGTCAGCCTCCTGCCTGAAGCAGCACAAAGTCTCTCTGGGCACATCTTCCAGAGATTTGACACCTTTCTGATGTAGATAGATGTTTTGCCCTAATGTGCAACCTGAACCTCCCAAAGCTGCAAAATATATATATATATATTTTTTTTTTTTTTTTTAAATAGTTGCAAGCTGCTCCTAAAGCAGCTTGGCACCTTATTCCCTTCTGGTTTTAAAGCACCTTAAAGTGCCTTCCCCTGTCCCAGGCAGAACTCCCCCCATGTTCCCAGCTCTGGAAGATACTATACCAATAGCACCATAGCTGCTTCCCTCAGGAGTGCTGGCTGTAATGGGGTGCGAGGAAGTCATAATTCCAGATCCTGCAATGGAAACAGAACCAAAAGGGACAGTTAGTTTCATGTCAGTGCTTCAAAACACATCTCTGAGGTGAATACAAACAGCTTGAAGAACTGGAGGGGCTTGGGAAAAGCAGCATTTCTCCAAACAGATGGCAGTCTCCCTCTAGAGCATACTGTGCAAATTGGAAACCCTCGCTTTGCAATGTGAAGCAAACAAACCCATCACCCTCAGTCTCTCCTCACAGGCTGCCAGTTTGACTCACCACAGCACAAGCCTCCTTCCAGCACCCTTTAGGGAACACATTAAGGGGCTACAAGACATGGCAAATTCTAGAGCACGTCTCAGTATCCAAAGCATACTTCTATAATTTCTAATTCTTCACTTTCCCCCTCCTCATGCATGGATCTATTCAAATATTGCTACCTCCAGTTTTCCCTGGAAGAGTCATACCCTTTGGCAAGACAGCTGCTACACAGTTTTAACTAAGCAAGGAGAAATCAAATAATGCTCCACGCAAAAAGCAGTCACAATCTTGTGCTGATGACAAGAAGGGCAAGCCTTTGAGGGCTGAGAAGTCCCTACCTCCTACCCACACACCTGAAACAAGGAGGGCTGCACCACCCAGTCAGGTTGCACTGGGACTTTCCCCTCCTGCCTCCACATTCCCTCTTTTTGCTTCTGTGATGGGGCTCAGCTGCTGAACTGACATCAGAAAAACACAGCAGGAAACACAGCCAGCTGAATCCCCACACCGATGGGTCAAACACCCATCTCACCAAAAGGGAGGGAAGGAAGAGCAGCAGGAGCAGGACCATGTCTTCCAGTGATGGCAAACAGCGAGACAGGTCCAGCTGCTTATAAAGCTTCAACTTCGTGCGGCCAGTCAGGAGCACAGGGACACAGGACATGGGATAGTGTTTAAAGCCAGGCAACTTTACTGCAATGGCCTGGCTTCCCAAGCTGCATCTCTGGTTTCCCAGTATCAGATCTGTCCCAAACTAACAGGCACGGGCAGACTCCTCTTTCCAGCTGGCAACTCTGGGCACTCCTGTAACACCTTGCATAGGTTTATATGCAATTTCTATTAGCCACGTATGTAAAGAGCCACAAAACTTTTCCCTGCCCGAGCCCAGTTCCTAGGCAGGGAAGCACCCATACAATAATGACATTTGATGTTTCGAGTCCAAATACTGCTTTCTTTTGACATGGTCACTGTGCTTGTTGGGCTGTGGGCTAAGAGTTGGTCTCCATTTCAGCTTCTCTACACTCCTGCCCCATCCCCCTAACAGGGCAACAAACAGCTCAGAGGAACATCAGAACAGGACATCAAGGCATGGACTGAGCACCAGAGGGGAGGCTCTGGCTCACCACAGCCCCCCACATGACACGCCTTCAGCCCTGAGCTGGGATTAGCAGGATGTTGTTGAAGGTCATTGCAGGAGCAAGATCCACCTTCTACCTGTCACGCACTGTGCAACCCTCCTTCTCTCATGGTAATTTTTCCTGTTGCTTTAAAGTCATTTGGAAATCCAGATCGCTGGGAAGAGAGCAAAAGAAGCGTTTCCCCATGTTCGCTGCACCAAGGCACACTCACAATTCCTACTCCTGTTGGTCCTGTCCCACTGGGATTCTCCCTCCTTATTTTAAATCAGGCTTTATGCTCTCAAATGACCTTCTCTCCCAAGCAAAGATTTAAATCTAGACAATGCAGAGATGCCAGGGAGAAGAGGTGCTCTGCCCTCTTTGGACCCAGTTCACTCATTAGTTTCAGTCCCACTTTCCAGTGTCTGAGTCAGCAAAGCAAATGTACAACATTAGGTGTGGTTCCTCCAGCTATTGCCTCCACCAGGTAGTGATTATGTGGAATGGGAAGTGTGCCATGGGATAAAAAAAAGACAGTTAACCACAGAAGCCAGGCATAAGATGGGTGACAGGAACAAAGGGGCACATGGTGTTGGAGGATATTCAAAGAAAAAGAGCAGAGACAGATTGCTCAGCACCTCCATCCACACTTTCTTGGTGGGGAAGGAGAAAGAAAAGGGGAGAAAGGGGAGTGCTAGAGAAGGCAAGACCCACGGGTACTTTGGAGGAAGAGATATTCCAGTGGGTGGTTAGAGGAAGAAAAAAATCAAGAGAAAGCCAGCATGCCCTGGGTGATCTGGAGGACAGGGAAGATGTTAGTTACCATTTTATAGGCATCGGTCAGACACACACACCCTGAAGAGACACAATAGAGAAAGAAACAGCACATGGGTAGGACATGGATCCTCCCCAGAGGAAAGGACGTGGCTGTAACATGCAGTGCCAGGCATGTGAAGGTGACACAGAAGACAAGGGGGAGGACAGGTTAGGTCAACAGAAGAAGCAGGTGCTTCTCAGAGGAAACCTGTAAACCATGAAGGAACTGTGCTCCTTTGTCCTTTCACAGGGATGCTGTTCAGCAACCCTCCCTGCCCAAGAATCCAGTTCTCTGCCATCCAGGTCCATGCTATGCATAGCATCTGTGCCCTGCAGCCTCTTTGAGAACTTTCCAAGTACCAGAAATTAACTTCCACCTCTTGCCAGGGCAGCTTGGAAAGCAGTTTCTAAGATGCCTTCAGCACATGAGCCCTGAGCTGCAGCACCAGCAGCACTCCCTGGGGCTTCTGGTCTCACCTGGCTGAGACTGTGCCTCTGTATTAGACAGTGATCCCTTGTCACCACCCTGGAGCTCTTCCAGCGCCTTGGCCAGGTCCTTTCAGCTTTCCCAAACACCCCGACACAGAGGCCCTTCCTGTTTCTCAAGTGCCCTAAGACTTGCTGTTGTCTCACAGCAGGATCCATCACAAATGACTTAAAATGAGAATATTTTAAGCATATTTTTACAGTTCTCTGCTCAGTCAGTTGCAAAGAAAATCTTTCACATACATTCCACATACAGGGACTCATATGTGGGTCTCAGTTGCTGAAGAAACCACTCCTGAGATTCCAAATGTCCTCAGATTCTCTGCAGAAGAATCAACCCAGGTAATGCCAGGTCAGAGTGAAGTTCCACTGCTGATCCTTTAAGCACAGCTCAGTTATACTAATATGCTTATCTGGTGGTATGTAGCAGACCAGAGAGACTGAAGCAGCTGGGGATTAAAAAAGGGAACACACCAAGAACCTTTCAGTGCTGCCAAAACATAACATCCTCCCTTCCTCCTAGAGAGGTACAAATGATGATAGCTTTATCCTCAGACCAATGCTTTGACTACTTTGCAGGCACTAAGAATTTAAACAAAACAAAACATTCAGCTTCTCACACTTCTCCAGAAAGCAGAAACTCCCAGTACCCCCTCCCCATCCACATGGCAAAAATTTCCATCTTTCACTGACAGCTTCTTAGACACAGATATGTTTTTATAATGAAGAAATCTGCAGTATTTTGATATGTGGGTGCAGCATAAAGTCAACTGAATCCAATACCAAAGTAAATAACAAACACTCATTACCTAACTGTATTAGTCATTCATTCACTTGGTTGCCTGCAACTCCCATTTAAAAATAAATTAAAATTTAAATTAAATTTAAGAAATTAGAGACCCCATGTTTAAACCAGGTGTAGGAAATCTTAAAGTATAAGAGCTGACAAACTCAAAGTGCCTTGTTTAGGAATGAACAGACCTGGCATCAGGAACATTAGCCTGTAGCCAGGTCTATCCAAGGCTTGCCTTTCCCCCACCCCTCTAAAAGCCAGATCCTCTGGGTAGGGCTCAGGACCAGATTCAGGGTAGCCCGATTCAAACATCTTCTCTTGTGAAGACAAAGAGGAAGCTCTAACATCTTTCATCAGCACCAGAGGCGTGTGGTACATGCTAAGGAAAGAAGGCTTGAAGGAACAGAAGACTGACAGACTGTCTCTTGCCAGGCCTGGGACGTGTGCTGTTCACTTAGAGCTGTCACACAACAGAAAAGAGACCTTACCATCCTCAGGACTCAGTCTCCCAGCTGAAGCCTTCCTCCGAACCCTGAGAAAAAAACCAGGCAGCACTCATGAGATAGCCAACAAACCCCATCACCTGCCAGCCATGGCACGATTATCTAGGACACCAGAAGGTAAATATGGAGCAAGCTCTAATAAACAAAACAAACAAAAATAACCCACAAAAGAAACAAACAAAAAACAACAAAAAAGGGAAAGCTGTTTGGACTAGACATGGTTCAGCCATGTCTGCTTGCTTTTCACCCCTCCAATTCCCAAAGCAACAGAGGTTGTTTTTTCACCCTCTGAACTATTCACCAGAGGCAGGACAACCAGTTCCACGACCGTCCCATCCTACAGTGCACAATGTTGGGAGACACTCTCAGCCCACCTTCCTAAACCCAACTGCCCACACTCAGGGGACCAAGTGCATAAGAATCTACTGAAAGGGCAAGCAGGAGCTAGAGGAGCACCTAAGCACAATGTTTAAGAAGCCAATACCACCTCCTTCAGTTCAGGTGCTGAACAGAAAGAGGGTAAGAAAAAAGCCACATATGCCCACAACAAAGAAAAAATAACAGCAAAAAAAGAGCACACACACACTTAAGTAATTTAATTAAGTTGTTCCAATGAAATGTTTCATTGATGTGCCTTGAAGTTAAGGCATGCCCCCATCTTGAAACTCTCTTGTTTCAGAGCACCAAGCTTTTAAGATCACCTCTTCTGAAGCAGCTGAAAACTCTTTGCCACGTTCAGACTGAGGAGCTGGCTGACAAGTACCGATCCATTATTTGATGAAAGCTTTGTATGGTTCTTTCCACACCAACCTTTGCCCAGTAGGGTGGGAAACAGTGTTGAAGGGCCCTCCCTCCTCTCAAGCCTCCGTGCTTTGGACAGAGGACTTGCTTAACTTTTGTTACAGCCTACACAGGCAGCAGTGATTGATCTCAAATTCCACCATCCCCACCACCTTAAGAGCACCTGCTCACTGTCCCACCAAGGCTCTTACCCTGTGCTAGCTGTTAGCTGCCCTGCAGAGGCAAATCTTACCACCCTTTTAGGCTACTGTCCTTCTTCCTGCCCCTCCAGTCCTTTCTCTCACTCAAGGACTTCAAGGTTGCCTCCAGTGAGCAACAGAGGACCCTGGGGCAGCTGAGAAGAGTTTTGTCTTTTGGTGTTTTTTGGGGGTTTTATTGTTGTTTTGGTTTGGGGTTTTTTTTGTGTTTGGGTTTTTTTTTGGTTGGTTGGTTTTTTTTTTTTGTTTTGTTTGGTTGGTTGTTTTTTTTTGTTGTTGTTGAGCTTTTTGTTTGGGGGTTTTTTGTTGCTGTTTTGGGGTGGGTTTTGGTGGTTTGTTTTTCCCCCCCACACCCCCCCAGACTAACCTGTCATGGTAGCTGTGCCCAGGTTCACCTCAGATGCAGATATTCTCAACACAAGCCCAGGCACCAAGGTCTGGGGCAGGGGAGGCAGGTCAGGAAGGAAACCAGCACTCTTGGGACTCCAAGGCCCTATTTGGGTCACCGCCACTTATTGCAGTACTCTGATGGGCACTCTTGGTTCCCCAATGCTCTGGCATCCCATATCCCAGACTGGCTCCATCACAACTCTCACCTGCTACCCAATGTCCTCATATAAAGAAACCAAGGGGTAGGGCATTATGAAAGCTAGAAAGCAGAGCCTTATGTTTTCATCATTGCCATGATCCTCACAGCAGAAGAAAAATTAGTCAGTAGAAGCCCTTTGAGTAGTCATGGATTACTTTGGCTGCTCTGTTCAGATGCTTGCTGCCCTACTCACCCCAAATGTACTGCAGGGTGAGGCATCTCTGAGGATGATGAGAAACAGGAAGGCCGTTCTTGTAAAACCTCTCAACTCACCTGATGTAGTGCACAAAAGCAACAACCATTGAGCCCAAGTAAAAGGAGAGGAAACTCAGGAAGCTGAAGAACATGGCCTGGACATAAGTGGACTCTGAGGAAAGAGAAGGCATCAGTCAGCTCACAGAACAGGGACAACCCCTGTCAGAGCCAGCACTCCTGTCCTGCTCTTCCCAACATCTGGTAACAACACCCAGCCCTAAACAGCTCTTCAAAACCCATCTGCTTTCTTCAAGAAGAATTGCCAAAAGCTTTTGCAAGGTCTCCCCTCATTTCTTCACCCTTAGTGCTAGCTGCTGTGCCCATGAGACCACTCTGTGTCACACAGCACCTCCTGGAAGGGACCAGAGCTCAAATGGGTTTTGACTCATTTGCTGGTGCTTTCTGCACCATCCCAGAGGGCTGCTGGCCCAGCCATACCCTTCTATGCAGAAGGGCCATGTCACCCTGTAAAGTTGCATTGCTCTGCCAAAAGACACTGACTTTTAATAGAGGGCACAATCGTCACTTGAAGGTTCTTCGTCCGCTGCAGGTTCCAGGTACGGTTGACATTCCCTGTGAGATGCAAAGTGTAGAGCAAATATAAAAACAATCAAACACTATGATCTCTGGCCCTGATCTTAGTTCTATGCACTTGCAAAAACATCAGGGTCTGGCTTTTAATTATAATCTGTGTGTGGTTTTGCTCTAAACCTCTCTCAGACTTGTCAATATACAGACTTTTCCATACATTTACACCCTCCTACCAATCCACAACCTGTTTTTCAGACTAAAAATCTCTGCCTGAGCCTTCCATACATTGATCAAGTCTGGATGCCTGAATCCCAAGGACATCTCATCTCCTATTCCTCCAGTCCCCAAAGGGCAGTTTCTCTCACTACAGGTACTGGGACACCATTTTTGCTTTTGGCCAAAGGTCTGCTGGCCAAAAGTCCGCTGCACTTCTGTGCAGGATGCCATGCTAGTGACTTGCTATGTTTCAGCAGGGCTTAGCACATCCTGCCAGTACAGCTCTGCTGACGGCTTTAAGATAAAAGACAGACACCCAGAAGGTGACAATTTTTTTTAGGGGAGAAACTGGGGTTGGGCCTGTTGGGAGAACCCAGTATATCTGTTATTTGCAGTCTTACTTATCCTACAGGGAGGAAGCCATATGGCTTTCAGGATAGGAATGTCCCCACTCCAATTACAGCCACCACATGAGTGGTGGAGGCTTTGCTTTTACCACTGCTCAGGAAGTGGACACAGTGTTTTCTTGCTGAGAAAGGCACTAGAACAAGTCTCTTGTAAAATTATTCTCCCAAAATTACTAGTTTTTCTTGTTTCCCCAGGGCCAGGGCTGTCATAGATCCCAAGACAGTAGTAGGACAAGATGCTCTCTGCAGGAACTGCCCTCTGGGCCTACCATGAAGACAGGTAGGAGAGTCAGGTGGAGGGGAAAAAACTAAGACCACAACCAAAAAGCTATAAGCATCGTTGTCTGGGTGTCTCTTATCTCCCAAGACACCAGTGACTCCTGTGAAAAGCACATAACCACAGCAAGACAGGCACTGTACTAGCCAGGTACCTCCTTGATTGATCAAGACTATTAACCCACCTGACAATATAAAATTTATACTTCACTCTTCCTCACAGCTACCTGGATAAGACACAGCTATACGGCCATCCCATGTCATCCCACAAGAAGGTCCCAAAGGGCTCCCACTGCTCCATCACCCAGATGCAGCAACCAAATCCACCTTCCAGCACAACTTACCATGAATGGAAGAAGGCACAGAACCCCCACAGGCATAATCCTCTGGCTTGATGATGAATACCACAAAGAACTGCTCACCTGGGAAGTCCTTTCTCTGCATGGGAGGACAGAAGAAGACAGAATCCATGAGACATGAAGGAGCCTCTCCCTCCAATGCAAAGCAGAGGCAATGCTCCAAAGGCCTGAGATCAGGTTTTAGTTGCTACACAGGCACCAGCCTTACAGAGACCTGTCTGTTCTGGACAGAGATTGGTTTGTGAAGAAGGCTCCCCTCATCCTTGCTGACAATAAGCTGACCGAGTTCACCAGTATGCAGTTTGCAGTGCACCAGTACAAGCAAACCAATACTAATGCATTTATTATTTTACTTTAATTAGTGCAAATCATCTACTTAAGCTTTGCTTATTATAAGGCCCTACTACCACCACTCAGTGGTAGAAGAGCCAAGGTTAAAACAGAAGACACTTGGCTGCAGCCACTCTGATCTAGAGCCTCAGTACCTAAGACAGAACACAAACAAACACAAGCAAACACAAACAAAGTTTTGTAATATAAGTTAACACCACTTCTTCCACCTATATTAGATCATCTAATAGAAGCAAAATCTCACAACCGTACCAGAATCAACAAAATAAAACTAGGAATACATAGGACAAACCACTGAGAAAACCCAACACTGGGACAAAAATCAGCATCTCACCTGCACCGTTATGGCTGCCTGCTTAGTCATAGACTGGTAGACACCGTTGAACTCCACATTATGGTCCAGGTCATATACAGGGCACTAAAACAGAAGCAACTAAGGGTTAAACCAGGGACAAAATCTAAACTAATTTTGCAGGGAGTCAGCAGAAGACAGTGCAGAGCAGCAGAAAAAGGCCCCTCTCAGGGTAACAAATGGAACAAAGCAACCAGGACCCACTGAGAAGATAGAAAAGCTGCTCTGAAGACACAGTTTTGGCCTGCACTCACTGATCTTGACATGCTCACGAGAGGGCTGCAGTTTAATCCCAAAAGAGCACTTATCCAGATTGATCACTCCACCGTTCTCACAGGGCAGTGCATACACTCAGCTGTACACTGGTTGTGTCACACACTTTACAGTCTGTACTATATGCCGAGTGCTTACCCTCATTTTACTCTTTCCCACTACTCTCAATACCAAATAGGTTGAAAATCACCTGTCACAGTCTCCCTTTCTGCCCTTTGACCATTCAAACACATAGATGTGGGCAGGAGTTGATTTTACCCATTTCTCTCCTCACCCCAGGTATTAAAGGTGACTGCCAGGACTTTGGAGCCAGCAGCCAAGGCACCTTGCACCTCTGTCACCATCTTGCTGCTCCCACAGTGCAGGTCCATGCATCAGTCAGGGAGGTGGGAAAGGAGGATAAATATGGGGCTATTTCTCAGCTGCAAGCAACAGCCAACCTCCATGGCAGGTAACAGCTGCTTTGCCCTTCCCAGGGAAGGGGAAGAGTAATTGCATAGAGGAAATTGAATTGGAAAGATGGAGAGACCTCTTATCTGGAAATCAGAAGCTCCCCATGCTACCTTGAGCCAGGGAAGAGTCAAAGGAACAGCACTGCCCCCTTCCTCAGCTACCAGCATCCCATCCAACACCCCTCTGGGGAGAGACAGACCCATGTCACAGGGCAGCAGGGTATTAAATCTCACCAGGGGAATGTAACAAATACCCTATGGATAGACTGGAGAGGAACAGCTTGTTCACATATTTGCAACAAAAATCTCTGTACGAGTTGCTTGAATTCAGCATCTCTGCCTCCTTCCCACAGGATTTTCATTCCTCTTTCAGGGGCTCCATCACCACCACACTAGGGTGAAGCCCTTCTTAGGGCTTTTCTTCCTGTGTGGGCACAGACCCTCTTCACAGCAGGAGTCAGAACTCCAGCAGGCAGCTTCTTACCCTTCTCTGCTCAGACTTACCACAATATCCTGGACAGAGACAACTGAGCATGGGTAGACTGCATCAGACACCACTTCAATAACAACTGAATCGACATCCTCAGGAAATTTGTAGAGAAAATACTGGGAAGAAAGCAGAGTGCTGAGAGTTATGGTCCAGAAACCACCCCTGCCAGTAGCTTGAGAGCTTCCCTAAGGAAGCTTCCAAGCTGGGCTTTGGAGTTGGATGTGAAAGGCTTTCATAAATATTCAGATTTCAAATATTCGGACCTTACACTACAGAAGAGCAGATTAAACATATACAGACAAGTCTCCCACTTGCACACCACACTGTTAGTCACAGATATCTTCAACATGCGGGATACAGCATAGCATCTACTCCTCCTTAAGCTTTTTTCCACCTGATCAAGCTAAAGTGACTTCATGTTATACCCCACTCTGTTGTCTGTTGCTATGAACAATTTCCAGGTGTTTCCATACTGCTGGCTGTACTTTATATGGAACATATCATGGAATTTCTCTCAGATGGGTTGCCTCAGACCGAAAAATATTAGGTCAAATGGTTGAAATGCTGTCAAGAGTTTAATAAATAAATGCCTGATACAAGGTTTAGGATTTAGGGGGTTTGGTTTTAAGAGCAAAGAGTAATAGAGATTTCTCTTCTCACTTCAGCTTTGAAAATAATTCAGCTATAGCTCTGAAAAAAATTTGGGAGAGACTAACATCTGCTAATATTCCTACTTTTCCTGTGAGGGCAAGGAATGGTGTTCCTTGTGCTTCCATGCTTTGAGCAGGCCCACAGGACAGTCTGTGGATCAGGAAATACCCTTCCCTGTCCCGGCAAGGGCCTTTTCAGATTTGGGCAAAAGATGTCACAGGAAACATCATTATTTGTGTACTTTTCTAGTAAAAGTTTGATATACTCTACCAGCCAGCTGCTGGAAAAATAGGGTGCCTGTGCCTCCCCCAGCAGGCAGTTTGTTGCAAGGGGTCCCATCATCCTGCTTGGAGCCCAGACCCCAAGAGCTCAGGCTCAGTCACAGCTACTGTGAGGGGCTGATGGGCACCTCACTCCACCTCAGAGGGGACACAAGGCTGAGGACTGCCACCAGCCACCTTCCTCCCTTCCTTAGGGGAAGCCACCCCAGGAACCAGCACGGCTCCTGCTCCAAAACAGTAACCTGAGACATTCCCAACTGGTAAGTTCCCTTTAGGTCACATAAAACTTAGTGCTGAGCAAGGGCCGGCTGTTTCTTATTTTCCTTCCCCAGAAGTAGAGCCCGCAGCTGGCAGGGCAGGGATAAGCAAGAAAACACCAGGCTTTTTTTAAGTTTATCCATTTCTACCAAAGCATTTATTCCCACCACCCCCTTCCAAGCATGGTCCCTTCACTGCTGAGGGAGTGCTGGCTCCAACCACAAGTCCTTACAAACCGAAAACTCACCAAGCCAGTTTCTTCAGCAGAGCGTGTTTTATCTCCACCAAGCAAGGACACCAGTGGTCTGAGCTCCTTGGTTTCCCAGGTGCACTACTCTTGGAAAGCTTTAGGTCCTTGCTGAAGTCACTCATGAGGGCCCTTGCATAATTTTCTTTTCAAGGCACGCTTATACCAGAGTACAGAATTAACGTAAGGGGCATTGAGATCTACAGTTCTCTGCTGCACAGACTAAGTGGTGTAAATACATCCACACAACACTCCTGACCTGTAGTAGCCTAATTTCTCCTGCCCTCAGGCATGAGTTGGGATCATGACAACAGCTCCTTCAGTTGTTTTGTTTGTCTTTTTTGTCTTAGGGTTATTCCAACACCCATTTAGATTCTGTATTGCCTTCCCCCCCCCCCTTCCTCCCACAGACTACTTAATACTTTGATTTACAAAAACCTCAACGTTATATCAATTAATAAGCACTCATCATCTACTCTATGTCTGGTCTATAATTAAAAGTCACCAATGTCATTATTAATTGTGACAAATAACAGACCAAAGTCACAAAGTTAATTCCAGGCCAGATCCAAAACACTCAACATCCAAATTACAAGATCTTAAGTAATGGAGGTTTATAAAGAGCCACCACCATTCCCTATGCTTCTATAGTATAAAACACTGCATGTATCTGCAAACCAGCTTAAGACATTTGACAGCAAAAATTATTAGCTGGGATGCCTGGTAATAGGAAACCTAAAATTAAGTGATGTTACTAACAGTGATAGCAACAACAAAAATGGACTACCAGACAACCTGGGTAAATTACATACTTCCCCAGCTCTACGAGCTCCTGTATCACTATAGTTACTGCGAACAGCATTTTTATTCAAGAGAGGACTTGGAGTATCTGCAGGGCTCTAAACAAGGCTGCTCAGCAGGATGTGCTGTACATGTGTGCTCTCCAAACTAATAACCAGACTTACCAGGCATTTAATTTATCACCTCACGACTTGCTGCCCTGAGCAAGGAATAGCAGTCTGAGTTCTGCTGTACCTTTATAGCTTATTTATTTATGTATTTATTTTTCTCCAGTAAAGACTGTACCTTGGCAAGTCACGCTCAGGCAACTGAAACAGCACTGCCTGGAACAAGACACTGGTGCACACCACATCACTTCCCATGAAATGTAGCAGTCCAAAGGCCTCTGGACTTCTGTACATTTCTGGATTATGCTGAACTGCAGATACCATTCATTTGCTCTGGTCGTGGTTTTTGGTTCACTTAATTGCTTTGCAAGAGGACCCAAAAATGCCCCTAGATGGGCTGAGGCACTGCTACCTCTGCTATATCCACAGAAAATTCAACAGTAAGGAAGTTTCCCTGCGTCCTAAGAGGGAAATGACCTAGTCACATAAGACATTTGCTATCCCCAACAAAGCGTCACATCAACCATTTGGATGTGATAAGACATACAAGCAATGCCACATAGGACTCCTCCTTACCTGGGGCTGGGAAGGACTGGCAGTGAAGTTAAAGGCTTTGTTGGTCCTAGAAAAGAAATGCCAGCATGTTGAAGTCTAAAACTTTCAGAGTTGGAATACACACCAAGTACCTTCAGATTAAGCAAAATAAATAATCTATCTTTTTTCTTGGAAGGAAAGAGGGGAAGAGTAGGCAGACGGACCAAATCCCTGTATAACAGATACATGAAGAAATTACATTTGTATTCTCACATCCCATCTTACTCAAGTTGGAAGTTCTTGAGCCTGGTGACTAGCAGCTCATATGCAATGTTAAATGGTGCCATTGAAGCGACATCCACAAATATAATCTGGTCAGAGGGTCCTGTCTCAGGTGTTGGCTCAGAGGGACAGAGGGTCCGACTCACTTCTTGGTAATTGTAGGTCCTTTGATAGCTATAACAGACAGGGGAAGGAGAGAAGGGAAAGTTGGATGGAAAATAGGGAGAGATAGCAGTTAAAAAGTTGTTTGGCAGTCCTAAGTGACATAATTTTTCCCCTGTTACCTCTTGTGGTCTGCACAAGGGACTGACCATTCCCAACATTTCACTTCCCTTGAGGCTGCCTATGCCATCTACAGATCTGGGACATCTGCCATTTGCTGGAGGCAGAGATAATGACAGCCTGGAACAGCCACTGCTGTAACCATCTCCTGCATCAGGCAAGGCACTGCAGGGTATCTGCTGCCCAACACCAGTCACAGTATGAAGCTTCACATCTTAGATGGTCTAAGGTACCTGCAAATTCTCAGTACTTGCAGCCTAACTAGTTCTGAGGTTGCTGAAGATACACAGCAGCATCACTTTCACAAAGAAAAAACACCAAACAACCATCACACCCCAGAATAGACTCAGCTTAGGCATACCTAGGGTGAGAAATGGAAGAGAGCCCTTATTCCCCAAATGCACTGTAACACAGCAGCTTAGGGTTCTCATCTGGGAGCTTGTTCAAGCCCTACTCCAAACTAGAGCCCAAGATCTACTTGCACACACTGTAAGCAACTGTGGAAATGACAACAATGCCATGTGGTAGATTCACTGTCTAGTGACAGGCAGATCCCCAGCAGACAAGCCTCCAGGTACTCAATGTACATACTCGAGAAACAAAGAGACAAGACCAGGCTGCCAAGTAGAAGGATACCTACCAAATCCTGGTCTTCCTATGTTCAGCTGACAGTGAGTAAACATGCTTTGCAACCAAACCTTGCAATCTACACAAGTAGCAAGATCTAGCACTTGAGCAAGGCTGATGATGGATACAGCTGGCAGACAAGTGTGTTACAAGGAAGAGACTCCAGTCTACTTACAGGCCTCGAAAAATTAGTGGGACCTGCCACGACAGAACTCCCTTCTGTTGGCGAACTACAAACAGTACAGGATATTGCAGGTTCTCAGAGCTGCTGTTCACATATACCCGCATAGCATCTACCTGTGGGAAGAGAAAGGAGAGTACAGATAAGTGTTAGCTGAAGGTAAAGAACAAGACAACTTCAAATCTGGGTGGGAGAAGCCTGTCCCCCTTCCTCAGTCTGACCTAGATGCTGGCAATATCCACAAGATCAACAGTGTTTGTCACTGGACTGGTTATTCAGATCCAGAGGTCATTTACCAAAGTGACTCCCTGCTGCTGCTCTAATCCAGAATCACAGCCCCGTTCCCAGGTCAGGGGTGACTGTCAGACAAGACACAGTGGACAAATTCAGCAGACTTAAGAGAGTTCAGTAGGTTCCACTTACCCAGTTGGGAGCAACCTGAATAACTGGTGTTAAAGAATTAAGCAAACACACATAGACCCAAGGCTACAACTGATAATTTTCTTGCTTAGACTCTTATGCATACAACTCAATCAATTATTGGTAAAGTCACAAAGGTGACTGAAGACAATGTTAATAGTTAGGAATGAAAAAGCAGGTTAGCAGCTAGCACCTCGTCCTGCTGTAAATGATACCGAGATGACCATAACTCATATATACCCACCTAACAAAACAGAAATGCACTGATCACTGCTTTCAATTGGACGAGGAAGGCTGCTTTGGTTTGTGAGCAAGGGGTTTAATGCAGCCCACTGCAACAGCAACTGAAATCTCTCCTTACATTATCTGGCCACCACACAGCTGCAGAGGTAGGACAGCTGTGGTGTAGGACAGTCGGTTTACTATTTGCTTTGAGAAATAAGCAAACAGTTTGTGTGCGCCAGAGGAAAATGGCACCATTTCCACATGAATAGGACATCTCTTCAGTCACCTCTCCAGAACTGCACACATTGCTCAAGAAAACAGGGTATGAGAATGCATAACTCATCAGAAGAGATATTACATCTCTATTAAAGGCCTTTAATTGGTAAAAGCATATTAGGCAGATAATATATACACATTTTTAAGCCCACCACGTCTTGAAAGATTAGAGTGGACTCTGAATAGATCAGTGACTTTTCACAGATGTCTCAACTTCATACCCTCCAAGAAGTGTAAAGGTAGAAGGGGGTGCTACCTTCTGAAAAAACATACAGAGTTAGCAAGGTAGCAGAAGGGCAGCTACCTGACATGTCAGCTTATGCTTACACTGAGGATACCAGGGTCAGAGAAAGGGCTTGCATCTGCAATCACAGGTCTGAAAGAAAATTTCTTATTTATTCTTGTGTAGTGATTCTAAGCTCACATGGGAGTTTAGTTTACTGAAACAAACCACACTCTTGATAGCCATAGTCATTATCAATTTTCCTGCCATCATCACCATGGATACAGCCACCAATTCCTGAAAGATAAAGTCTTCAGCAAAAACCATCATTTAATTAAAATCCCCTTGAGATAGAAGGGTGAACACTGGAATCTTTCTTCCATTGCCTTCTGGTATCTAAACCTTTGTAATTCTCTTTTGGCATGCCTTCCAGCTTTTCTTTCTGAACACAGAAAATACATATTCAATTTTATTTCAAAGTAAATTTCACCATAGGGTGCTAAAACCAAGTTAAGAAAAACACCATCACACAATAAGACTCACAGGTAGCATCTGAAGGGCATCAACACACTAGGCCACCACCACCAGACATCACTGGAAGGTTATTCTGTGGTTTCCTTAATCTATGGGGCTGTCCTGCTTGACTGGAGAACCAAGCCAGCACGTGTGGGTATAAATGGGAAACGTAGGGACTGGGCTGAACAAGCTGCTGCTTGTTTGTGTGTTTGCAGTAGTCACTGTGACAAGGAACAGGGATCCAAGTGAAGCAACATTGGAACTGAACGAGAAAACAAGTCTAAGGAACATGAAGGCATGATGGTCAAGCCAGAGTCCTGCAAGCATATGGAGGCGTTCTCCATCCATGGGGAAACCAACTGTCATTGCAGAAAGGATGCATTTCAGCTACCTTCCCAGCAGATTTTTGCCCATGAAACGATTAAAATAAGCCCACTTCCACAGGTGAAGTGATTCAAACAGCCGCTGTCTGGACACTGCTCAGCACATCAGCACAATGCAATGGAGAGCTCCCATCAGACTCCAAGCAAATAGCACTACTGCGTTACGCATCCTCTACTACTCAAATACAAGCTAGACATCGGGAAATTCTCTTCTGCGCTGACTTCACAAATACAGAACATAAGCTACTACATGGGTTATGCATACGTTGCAGTCAGGTTTGCTTTAAATGAGTACAATTCACCTGTTTGCATTTGAAGAGAGTAAGTTGCATTGTTACTTCTTCTAAAATCTCAATTTAAGAAATGTAATGGCTATTTAAAGTATATGCTAATGTTAGTGCTGTTAAAGAAAAAGTACCACTTTTACAATTTGCCCCGGATTTGGACACAGAATTGAAAGCTGCATACACATGAGAATGCCTCTTCTTCGCACCTCAGATCTTCTCTTTCAACAAACTGAGTATTTTCAATATTTATTCTAAAAGGAAAATACACAAACAGAAATTCACAAACTGTTTACAAAAAGTCAGCCAACAGAAAAAACCTGTTCTGAGGTATCTTACAAAAAACAGGACAGAGGTCCATCCTTCTGTCATTAAAATAAACAAGTACAGCTTTTGATATCTATTAAGATACAGTAAGAATAATTCTATGATTTAATCTCAAGCCTCCTGGAAATCCCAGTTCTTCCCACTATTTCATTACAGTGCATACACAGCAAGTAATTTATCTCCAGTGGCACAGAATATATTTTCCAGCTTTATTATTTTCTCATGCATGCCATTTGGCTTACACAAGAATACACACTGCCTGCATTCTACAGTGTATTATTTGAGGAGCCATGGCCATGTAATCAAATACTACTTCATAAGCAGACAAGCACTACACCGCCAACACAAGACCTTCACTAGACATTTTAGGTGATCTTAAATGTCTGTTGGGTCAGTTTGTGGAATTCCTAGATTTTAATCTGGAGAGGGGAACACCACAGCAAGGCCACATCCTTCTACGTATGCTGATGCAAGGAAGTGTTTTCTTAATATTCACCAAACAAAGTATAGCCTTCCAAGTCCTGTCCAAAAAGGAAGGATTTCCTACCCTAATGCAGTTTGCAAGGTATTGAGGCCTGCCATTGCATCCTTCCTCCCAAAGGAGCTTTGCTAGACCCTTGTCTACCTCGTAGAGCTCTGCAGCAGATGTGAGCAATGTGTTCTGCTTCACAAATAAGCGAAGTTTCACATGGGCAGACCAGAATGACTGATGCCTACCACTTTCATACAGCTCGTATCCAAACAGAAAGATGAGAAAACAGCCCTCATCTGCTTTGAGAGTACATAGCAGTAGGGGCTGGAGCCTTATAGAGATGTAATCCTAAACACACCTTTGGGTGAATGAGATCCTTCAGCCAGTGAGGCTTCCCATGGAAACAGCAGCTGGAAGCTTGTGGCTGGAATTAGGCTAGCTTACAGAGGTACCTGTATTGCAAAAGTTGCAGCACTATTAACTTGACTTTCCTCCCCACTAAACCAGATTGGAGAAGGGGATCAGAGCACCAGCTGAAAGATTTACACTCAGACTCCACCTCATACTCTGTAAATCTCAGCCGAAGACAAACCTTCGTGACTGTGCCATGCTTCCATCTCAGCCTTCGTGACATTCCGTGACATTCTGCCAATGAAGCCTAGATCCCAGGAGCAGCAAGTACCTGCATATCGTAGCTTGCCGTGGGACAAGGCAGGCCCTTAAATCCAAAGAGGACAGGCAAGTCACTTAGAAAATTTCCCTTAGAAACCTCTGTTAAGAATCCACTTTGAAATGGCGATTCCTGCCCTTGCAGGAGACAGTAACTTGCAGTGCTTAACAGAACATAAGCATCCCATCCTCATCCTTTGTAATCCCATCATATCCAGAACCTGACTGAGCCCTGAGCAGGGTGTCTCCCCAGATGGAGACTCCACAACCTCTCAAACAACCTATTCCTGTTTTTGATTGCCCTCACAATTAGAAAAATAATATAAATAAATAAATAAAATATACAGATGGAATTTCCAATGCTTCAGCTTGTGCCCATTGCCTCTTGTCCTGTCACTCTTGCCCAGCCACCAACTGAGAAGAACCCAGTTTCTCCTTCTTCATTCCCTCCCACCAGGTATTTATACACACTGATGAGATGCCCCTGAGCCTTCTCTGCTCCAGGCTGAACAGTCCCAGTCCTCTCAGCCTCTCTTCATAGGAGAGATGCTCCAGTACCTTCATCATCTTCATAGCCCTTCATTGGGGTCTCTGCAGTATGTCCATGTCTCTCATACTGGGGAGCCCAGAATTGAACACAGTAGTCCAGGTGTGAAAGCTTTGTAACTGCCCAAGGCAAATCTGTAGAGCATTACTCCCCCATCTTTTACAAGACAAAGCCACCTCTGTAAGAGCTTCCTGGACAAGCCCAACAGTCAGACTTCTCAAACAGTGACTCATTAGTGCTCCATTCACACACATTTTTACCCTGACACCCTCCTGCAAGCCTTAAGGACCATCCCTGAATCTTGCCAAATGATTTAGCATTTTTATTTCCTGGGAAAGGAAAGCTAATTAAGAATATGGCTGCAGGTACAGTACCACAACTGAAAAGTTTTGCAAGCTAGACCCAGTCAAGGCCCTACTCAGCACAGGCCTCCCGCTGCTGCTCTACATCCCAGTTTGAGATCCTGCTGTTCCTCACCCAGGGTGGCTGGAATGTCCCTGAGCAAGAGCTTCTGGCCCTTATGTGCACAGGATTGCAAATTGCTTCCGCTTTGCTGTCAACACCGATACTTGTTTCTCTTTCTGTAACCTGTAGGTGAGTACACTGAGCATATATTTTTTTGAGATCTCGGGGCTCTTCCAGATTAGATGCTTTACTCATCGGAGCAGTCAAGTTTCCTTTAAGGAAGGGGAGGCAGGAGGAGACCTGACTATGAATCAAAGACTATTAGAAGCTTACTTAACTAACAATACACAATGCCAAGATCAATTAATT